ATATATTACTTATTTAGTGTACTATGTCCTACACTTATGGATGTCCTACCTTTTTTTTTAAATTATCATATCCTATTTCCATGCAATATAGCTCCTAGTATGTGAAACTACTCTATAACTAGGCTAATTAACCAAGATTTTTTTATTACCAATAAAAAATGAAGTATTTTTTTTAATTTGTTTTTGTGTCATTAAAATAAAATTTGTTTTTGTGTCATTAAAATAAGAAATTAATTCCTTTTGTTTTGTGTTTAAATTTATTATAAATGATTGTTTATTTATTTGAAATATTAATGTATTACTTATTTAGTGTATTGTGTCCTAAGCATGTGAATGTCCTACCTTTTTAAAAAATTATCATATCTCGTATGTTTTTGTATCTTGTGTCCTTTATTTGTGCAATCTAACTGCTGGTATATGACACTACTCCATATAACAAACTAACCAACTAAAATTTCTTTTATTACCAATAAAAATGAAGTGCTTTTCTTTTAATTTGCTTTTGCGTCGTTGAAATAAGAAATTTAGTGTTTTTTTTATTTTATGTTTATTATAAATGATTGTTTATCTATTTAAAATATTAATGTATTACTTATTTAGTATAGTGTGTTTTAAGCGAGTAAATGTCCTACATTGTTTCAAAATTATCATATCCCGTATATTCCATATCTCGTGTCTCATTTTCGTGCAACTCAGGTTCTAGTATATGAGACTACTCTATATACCAAGCTAATCAACTAAGGTTTTTTGTTCATTACCAATAAAAATGAAGTGTTTTTAAATATTTTTTGTGTCATTTAAATAAGAAATTAAGTTTTTTTTTTAATTTTATGTTTATAATTTATTTTTTTTTAATTTTATGTTTAAATAATTTTATTATAAATTGTTTGTTTATTTTATTTTAAAATATTAACTGTATTACTTAAATTGTTGTTTATTTATTTAAAATATTAATGTATTACTTATTTAGTGTAGTGTGTCCTAAGCGTGTGGATGTCCTACTTTTTTAAAAATTATCGTATCCCGTAGTTCCAATTTATATTTTTTCAATTACTTACATATTGTTTATTCAATAATAATGTATTATTTATTCACACTTTTTTTAAGCGTGTGGATTATTTATTAATTATTTTGTAAGGAGAAATAAATTTATATTAATATATTAAATGCTAGAGATAATCTTTTTTTATAGATATTATATTGATAGAGGGATTATCTGAAAATATAAAACAATTGATCTTTTTACATGCAATTCTTACAATTTTGCTAAATTATGTGAATTTTAACATCTGTCATTCTATAATCCAAAATAATGTCAAGTGGCAAACTGTGCTACTTACACTTGGCTTCCATATAAAGTAAATTACCTGAGTTTTATATATTATATAGATAGATATAGATTTTTCAATAGTGATAATAATTTTGAGAATTTAACTAGTTATTTTGAAATAAGAAATTAAGTATTTTTTATTTATGTTTATTATTTATTATAAATGATTATTTATTTATGATTATATTCCGTACGTTCCCATATTTCATGTCTCGTGTCCGCGTGCAACCTAGCTTCTGGTATATAAAACTACCTATAAAATAGCAGTCAAGAATATGTATTAATTAGATAATTAAGATTTATTTTTTTATTTTTTTAGCTTTATAAGTTTGGTTATATGTATTTTAATTATTTTAATTTAAACTATTATTATTTAATAGATAAAATTATTAATATATTTTTTTAATTTTAAGTTTATTATATTTATTATAATGAATTATTTTAATTTATTATCATATCATTTATGTGCCCATATCTTCATTCCCAAGTGTCTGTGCAGAACCTAGCTTCTGATATATCAAACTAACCCTCATATGTCAAGGTAATCATTAAAAATAAAAAGTTAAATATTTTTTATTTTTATAGTTTTTGAGTTATTGTATTTAATTTAAACTAATTATATAAAATAAATATTAAGTATTTTTTAATTTTTTTATTTATTATAAAGATTATTTTTTAATTATCTATATAATCCCGTATGTTCCGGATCCTCGTGTCTCATATCCTGTGGGGCAACCTAACTCTTAGTATAAATAAGACATACCCTATAAACACTAAGATAATTAAATTAAAATAAGAAATTTAAAATATTTCTTATTTTAATGGCCTAGATTATTTTGTATTTTAATTTAAATTTTTAATTTTAATTTAATGCCAAATTATCTGATGGGATGTAACTAATTAGAAATTATCATGAAATAACATTATCTAAGAATATAAAAATAATTTATTTTCTTACAATCATGCTAAATAATCAATTGTCCCTCCTGCATAACTTGGCAATTTCAAAAGGCTTTACACTTGGCTTCTATATAATGCAAACTGGCTATGCTTATATATATAATATATATATATATATATATTATATATAGATTAGTTGATTAGAGACAGAAAGTTTTAGGCATTAAAGCAAGAGAAAATATGTTTATGTTTTTTAAAAATTTATTTTTAAAGTAATTATATCCTATCAAATTATATTAATAATAAAGAAAATAAAAAATATTAAAATAAAAAATAGTATATATTTTTTTATCTTTATCCTTAAATAAATATTTAAATTATAATTAAAAAATAAAATCAAATATTTAAAAATAAATATAAAAATTTTTAAATGTCTCCTTACTTGTAAAATAAAATATAAAAATTTTTAAATGTCTCCTTATCTTGTATATTTTTATTTAAAAAAGGAAAATTTTAAAATTTTAAAATCCTTAGTTATCTATATGTATTTATATTAAAAATAATTTTTATAAATTATATTTAATCAAATAATAAAACTCAAATTGAAAAAAAATTACTCTTGGTACGGTTGGTTTAATATAAATAGATTACATCTTTAGCTGAATATTACTTGTAAGTTTAGAAGTTCAAAAAATATAGTCCTTAATATCAAGAGTTTAGAGTATGACCGGTAAAGTAATTGTTTTGTTAGTTGTTTAGCTGTTTAAGTAGTGTTTAGTTGTTAACTATTTGGATAGCTTTTCATGAATTACTAAAAGTTAAACGTTACATGAGTTAACTTTTCACAAAATGTTATCATAACCTCTAAAAACTATTTCAAATGATATATTACTGAATAATATTTTAAGTTACATTTAAACCTTAAAAGCTACTTAAAATACTTGCCGAATACAACCATAACATGAAGGGGTCAAGTGTGGGTCCATTAGGCCAAATCTTTTTTCTAACTTTACCCTCTATATAAAATAATGAAAAATTTCAAATTTACCTTAACTTAATTAATTGTAGACTTACAGTATTATAGCAAAAGACTTTAAACTAATGTTAATATAAATCAATTAAAGATAATATAAGTTAATTAAGGATAAGGATAAAGATAATATAAGTTAATTAAGGACATAATTGTAAAAAAAAATTTAATCAAAAAATAGAAACGCTAAGAGCCTTTTGGAACAAATGAATTCCATAAAATTTTATGGAATTCATTTGAAAATCCAAGATGTTATATTTGGAATAAAAAAAAATATAGATTTGAATTCTACAAATTGAATTCTATGGAATTGGGTATACTTAACTCAAATTCTACTAATATTGATGGAATTTGTAAATAAATTCCACAAAATTAACTATTAAAATATTTATTGATAAAATTACCCTCCACTATAAATTCAACTATTTTTCCTTTTTTTCCTTTTTGCTTATTTTCTTTGGAAAATTGTAAACTATAACTACGTTAGTTTCTTCTAATCCAATAATGACGTTAGTTTATATTTTTTTCCCGTTTTTTTATTCCAAACCAATAATGACATTTTTTTAAAGTCTAGTAATGACATTATTTATTATCGTTATGAAACTATAAAAACTGATTATCAATAATTATTTTCAAATTTAAAAACAATTGTAATATTTTTATTATTTTTTTAATTTTTAAATTAATTACTTAAATCAATAAAATTTTTTATATTAATTAAAAATAATTATTATGATGAATGAATTTTTTTATAATTAATTAAAAATAATTATTATGATGAATGTTTACATACTTATATAATTAATTATTAGGCGTGGAATATTAGTGTACTATATTATAATTTTTAATAAAAAAAATGACAAAGTTATTAATAATTGATACATAATAAATTAATATATAATTAATTAATTAGCGTGGAATATTAGTGTACTTATTTATATTTTAATAAAAAAATGACAAGTTATTATATTGTACATAATAAATTAATTGGTGTTTGTTATTTATTTTTGTTAAATTATTATGTCATAAGAAATAAAAACAAATGAATTTTCATTTAAGAATTTATTCTAAACATAATTTTATGGAATTCAATTGAATTCTTTATTTTAAATTATAGCATAGACAAATTCATTTGTAAGCGAATTCTACTTAGAATTCATTTACAAGTAAATTCTACAACCATCTACAATTATCATTCATTTGTTTCAAATGGGCTGTAAATATTAGATGAATTAACCTTTTAATAAACATTATCTTATCCACTAACAGATATTTTATATGCTACTTAACTGAACCATATAATTTATACAAAAAGTGTTTTGACGCCATCAAAACTCTAAACTCTCCTTCAAGCATGCTATTACCGAACATTGCGATGGTATAAATTTATATTAAATTTATAATTATCCTCTTTTTACAAAGTAAAGACAATCTCACGTCTTATCCTTTTTCATTTTTAATTTTTTTTCCCCACAAAGAAAAAAAGAAGCAAAACTCAAACAAAGTCTAGCGGTCTCATCCCATATCTATAAACTGATTAAATAAACATGGACACTACGAGTCTACGACGCCGTAAGTGTAGTTCATTCACTCGTCGTTTTCGGATAAAAGAAAAGAACTCCATTAAATCTGCAAACCGTTTTGTTTGCCTCAATTAGCCACGTCTCAGGCCACGTTGCAGCAACAACAAAGCTCATCTGCCACGAGTTAATCTGCATGCAACACGAAGTTACGAAACCAAAAACCCTTATATAGAAGGCGAAGAAGGAAAGGAATCAATCAGAGATAAAAATGTCTACTCATCCAGAAGTTCCCGGCGAGCCAACTCCGGTCAAAACCAATCTCGTTGAGACTGCCACCGCTGCTGTTCAAGGCTTTGGTCCCGTTAATAAAATCCACCAACACCTCTGCGCGTAAGCCTGATCCCACTTTCACTTCAGTTTTCGTACTTGCGGTTTCAAGCATTGCATTTTCTTTTTGTTATAGAATCAATAATGAATCTTTGCATATAATGCTGTAGATTCCATTTCTATGGAGATGACATGACTCGGCAAGTGGAAGCACATCACTTTTGCGGTCACCAGAATGAGGAAATGAGACAGTGTCTGATATACAACGGCCCAGAGGCAGACGCTCGTCTAATTGGGCTGGAATACATTATATCGGAGAACCTGTTTATGACCCTGCCGGACGTGGAGAAGCCGCTGTGGCACACACACGAGTATGAGGTGAAAAGTGGTGTCTTGTTCATGCCTGGAATTCCTGGTCCAATACAAAGACAGGATCTTGAGAAAGTGTGCAAAACTTACGGCAAGACTATTCATTTTTGGCAAGTTGACAAAGGTGACAATTTACCTCTTGGCTTACCTCAGATTATGATGGCTATGACTAGGGATACTCAGATTTATGATGACCTTGCTCGAGGTAATGCTTCTTGATAATTAATTTTCGATTTTGTTTTCTTTTATGCATAGTATAGTATTCAGGTAAAGCCTTGCTTTTTTAGGTTTTAATGTGTTCAGCAACTGCATTTTTTAGGAGCCTTTTTAGCATTTCAAACGGTCAAAGCACTGAACACAATAATAATTATTATTGAATGATTGAATAATTAGAAATTCTATTAAAATTTTTGAGTTTGAATTGCTAATCAGATGTGGAGAACCGATATGGGGTATCATTTGAGAAAGAGAGGGAGAACAGAGCTTATATGAAAGGGCCAGATCACGGAATACATCCTTTGGCTAATGGTGGAGGAAAGGGTCTCAGGACTAGCCTCAGAGAGGTTGACTGCAAGCCCCCTGGCAGTGTTTAGAGGGTTCTTGTGTAATTTACCATATAATATGATACCCATGTAAAATATAATATGTTATAGGTTGCAGGATTTTGGTTGTGTAATTTTGATGACTCGACGTGTATTATGGTAATATACGATATGTATATAACTAAATATGTATATGGACTATTTACTGTGGCACTATTTCTGGTGTTCTTTTGCCCAGTAATTTTTGAGTGTGTAATCTTATCTTGTCACGTTTCCATTCTTATTCTATTTCTAATCAAAAGAGAGAACATAATTCCAAGACTGTAATATGCGTTACTGGTTCTGTGAATTGTTGGTTTCCGGATGAATCGGTTCAAATTTGTTTCTTTGTTTTCAATTTTTTCTATCAATGTCAATTTGATATTTTGATTGATTTGGATTTGGTTGGTTCCGAATGTTGTTGACTTGGATTTGGTTGGTTTCAATTTCGTTTTGATTTAAAATTTTTAGGACTATTGTTTTTTATACGATTTGAGTTGGTTTTGGTTTCAATTGAGATTGGTATTTTTTTTTTTTTTTTTTTTGGTTGGTTCAATTTCGTTTTTGAATTTTAAAAATTTTTAGGAACTAATTTATTGTTTTTTTATACGATTTGAGTTTGGTTTTTGGTTTTCAATTGAGAATTGGTATTAATTTATTTTTTTTTATTTTTTGGAATTGAATGTTGGAGTAATCTGAACTCTTATTGTAATCTTATTAAAGATGACTTAGGTTTGTTTAAGACTCAACTCTATAATAGAAGCTAGTGGTAAGAGGGAGCTTTCTGACGCTTTTTATATGGTTTGGGATCATAGTAAGTACTTTATTTTATTTTTGGTTTTGGGATCAATAATAAGATTTGTATTCCCTCTTCGCTTTCGAGTTAGCTACGACTTTTTGAGTTGATGAGTGAGGCTCTCGTGGTTTCATTTTTATAACTTTGAGTTTCGGTAAACCCAGCTCAGAACTTGCTCTTGTGCTCTGCTTTAATGTATATTATTTTCAGGCTGTTGTGCATGTGGTTGGGGTGATTCCTACATTGTTATGAGGTTATGAGTGTTCCTCCTAGCTAAGCGTTTTGCGGGGAATCAAAGCTAGTCGCCGGTTTGCAAACTCGGCTATTGGAAAAGTTAAAGGGCTCCCTGTTTGATATATGGGCTGAATGATTACAAATCATTCGAATAATTATTTCTTATTTTTATGTAACTGTCATTGTCAATTGGTAACGAGCTATCTGTTAAATAACAGTTTGCTATGTCAAAGAACCTGAGAATAACACATCATTGCTTCTCATTAATTTTGTGAAAGGAAGAGATCATTTTTTTCAGCGTGGTTCTGCACAATTTTTTTTTTTTTTTTTTTTTGGATTGAATGTGGAATCTGAACTCTTATTGTAATCTTATTAAGATATAGGTTTGTTAGATCAACTCTAAATAGAAGCTAGGGTGGGGAGCTTTTACGCTTTGTATTGGTTTGGGATGAAGTCTTTATTTATTTTGGTTTGGGATCAAATATAAGATTTGGTAATTCTCTTCCTTTCGAGTTAGCTAGCTTTTGAGGATGAAGTGAGGCTGGGTTCATTTTTATAACTTTTGAGTTTCGTAACCCAGCATCAGAACTTGCCCTGCTCTGCTTTAATGTAAATTTCAGGCTAGGCATGGAGTGGGGTGATCCTACATTGGTTTGGGATGATGTCTCCTCCTAGCTAGCTTTTGCGGGGAATCAGCTAGTCCGGTTTGAAACTGGCTATGGAAAGTAAAGGGCTCCTGTTTGAATATGGGCTGAAGATAAAATATCAAAATTATTCTTATTTTTATGTAACTGTCATTGTCAATTTAACGGCTACTGCAAATAAATTGCTGTCAAAGAACCTGAGAATACACATCAATTCTCTCAATTTGGAAGAAGAATATTTTTCAAGCGGTCTGCAATTCTTCACTTATTTGGGATATTAGTACAAGATTCTATTTGCTTTTTACAGTGTTACATATGAAACAAAATTTACATTTTTTGACCCAAAAATGAAGAGAATCTAAAGAAAATAGATTCCGACCTCCAAAGTTAGCAGTTTTATACAATTTTAGTAACTACTATATAACCCCAGAAAGGAAAGAATAACATCAACTATGCATTGGACAACAGAAAAATTGCAGCAAAAATTGCAAAAATTCATATCATGGGACACGTTCCAGTACTCGCTGTAGTGCCTTTTTGATACCTTCTTGTTCAAGTGCTGTTGTCAATTGTATTTCCTGTACCTGCATCAGAATGACGAGAATGAAATGATCCATAGCCCAAATAACAACAGCAATGCCCTGAAATCCAAAGGTCCCAGGTTCTGTTCCTGTATTTGTAACATTTAATCGTTTGTAACATATATCGTGCACCTTCTGTGATGGATTGCCCTTAAAAGGCTTTGATATTGTTGTACTGCTATGGATAGTGCAAATTGTGTAAATATGGCAAAATATATAATATAAATGATGAACAGTCCTCAATACCCAAATGAACAATCCTAATTACTAATGTGTATGTGATTGCTTTTCATTTTTGTTTTTTTACATTGTTATAAACTCCTATGCAATTCATTTATTTGCAAATAAAGTTCAATAAAAAATATTCATCTATAAAAATAATGGATGAACCATGGAATTTACTAACTTGTATTTGCTACTTATTAGCTTCATTAGCTTGTACTCTTATTAAGTTTAAATTTATATAAAAAGTACACTAATTTTGATAGAATTTCATTCAAGTCTAATCAGTTACTTGGAATTAAAAATTAGGAATTCTAAATGAATTTCCATTTCTACCAAACAGAACCTAATTAGATATTTTTGCCATTTCGGGCAAAACAGAACAAAACAAAAATCAATGTTATGAACTCGTGAGTGTCAGAAAGAAAGGACTGAAATAAATCTTACCTGGCGTCCTGCACGAGCAAGAAGGGTGAACTTCCCATTTGTAGGTGGTCCCTGAGGATTTGCGAGATAACAATGTCAAAAACCAAGGCAAACCCACATGCCAACTGGAAAAAATATGAAACAAAAGAAACTCACATTTGAAAGCCAAAGTTGCAGGTCTTGTGAAACAACACGTTTCTCAAACCCTTGTCTACTGATTTTAACAGCTTCTACACTGGACGTGAATGTAAAAAAATACAGTGAAAGTCCTGCTCTGGGTCTTGGTAAGCAATATTGAATTGGGAGTTAAAACAAGTATCTACTCAAGATTCAAGAGTTTTGGATATTGTGGATGAACAAGTAGATTTTATGTCATTCCAATTAAAGCTCAAATATCTTGAGAAAGGAACCTGAGAATACAGCAATAACAAACTCATACCCATCTTCATTTAGTAGCTCTTGAATTATTGTTTCAAGCCCCGGAAGAGGTTCAACTGTATCACTGCTATCCATGGTTGAAGGATCAGGATCAACTGAACCATCCTGCAAACCATACAATATCCATTAGCAAATGAAATTTTATGTTACAAAAATAAGGTTTTGATGGTCAAAAGACAATGTAAGATCAGATCATTTCACAAACCTGAGGAATTACTTTGTCCAGAGTTTCTAACAGTGGATCTTCCTCCAACTGTTTGATTGATAGCTTGATTCTTGACTTTTGCCTGTATTGATTTTTAAGCATAAACTACAAGAATGATGGTAAAGAATGACACAGCAGAAACAACAAGCATAAGGACTACAAATCAAATGGAGAAGAATCAAGCTCAGACAAAAATCACACCATTAAGCTGATCAAACCCTACATAGAGAATTGTGTTTCCCTTGCCTGAATGAAATCAGATTTTAGAGATTTGAAGAACAAAAATAGTTTGAAAAGATAATTTTGCTGCTCATGTAGGCAAATCATTCTATAATAATGTCATTCACATCATAGCATATCTTCTTCCACTTGCCAATGACACATTTTAATGGAAATATTAAATTGTATATTGCATATCTGATTAAAACAAGGGCAGTGGAAGATATAAGCAAAAGACTCACCAATCAATATTTGTAACTTTGACGACCACTTCATCACCCTCACTGAGGACATCTCTTGCATCTTGAACTAAATCCCAAGAAACCTCTGAGACATGTACTAACCCAGTGAGGTGATATAAACCTGTATCATTGTTATTAAAGTCACCAATAATTCTTGCTAACTAAAAATCTCATTGATGGACTAAAGATGCATAAAGCCACAAGCATAGATACCATCAGGGAAGAGCAAGTGAACAAAAGCACCATAATCCTCAACAGAACCCACTCTTCCTTTAAAAGTATCCCCTATGTTAACCCTTTTGGAAAATTTTGACCAGACAGCTTCCTTCTCAGAGAATATTAAGTTTCTCTTCTCCTCTTCTGCTAGGATTACCTAAAATATTGAGGGAAGTATATTAATTTCATTAAAAGTCAAATGAGTTTTACATAAAAAAATAAATAAATAAAGGAAAATATAGAATTGGTACCACATCATAGGATGACTGAATTTGTAAAAGCTGGAACTGAGGTTGTGTTGTAGCTTTTGATACAAAAGAGTCAGTAGCGGATCTAAATGGAAAAAGGGTTCAATTGACCCCTCTTTTTCTTTTTTAAAAAAATCTCTTATATATATGTGAACTTTTTCTAAATCAACTCCTCTTAGAATTACAATTAATCCCTTTTCTACTATTTTTTTTTTTTATATCAACCTCAGTTTTTTCTAGATCTGCCACAGGGAAGCTTACTACCATTTTCAAAAGAAATAATATGCTATTTGAGAAAAAGGACAAACTAAGATTAGTCCCAGAAAAAAAGAACATTAAAATTAGTGCCCAAGCTTTAAAGTTGCACATTGCTGCCAATCAACTACTGTGTACACTATAAGATGTCATTCCTTTGATGTCCATGGTAGTACAAGCTGTCAAAAATGCCACATAGGAAACACGTTCCTGCCAGCGCCTGACCAACTAAATGGTGATTCCTAATTTGATGGGATGCCCATATCTCTCTCTAAACCTGAAGGTTCTCCTAAGTCTCAACAGAAACCTAAAACAAACAAACTGAACGAACTTCGAATTCATTGCAATTAAATTGATACAAAGTAGAGTAACCGCCAAACCCCATATATTCATAAGCCAGCACAAGCAGCACTCAAGTGCAGTGTCAACAGTCATCTTAGAACATCTTAAAAGAATGAGTTTATTGTTAATGCGACCGTTAACAATATTGAGTAGCAGAGTTCTACTATTAGAGTTTAGGATGAAGTTAAATAATGAGAAATTAGTCAAAGCGGATTAAAAAGCAAAATATGTATTTTTTCTAGTAGACTGTCAAAAAAAAAAAAAGGGAAACTTATAGTTCATCAAGAGTAATCACAAAGTGACTTCACAAATAATTTCACCCAAGAAAATACAACGAAGCATTCTGTGTAACGTACTACATGAATTACTGAATCTATCAAATCCATTTAATACATGACAAAAGAACTAGTTAAAAAGAAAACAAAAATAATGGAGAAGACAAATTTGTTACCTTTACAGAAATACGTGAGCCATGCAAACCTTTTGCAATCTCATGTATAGTCTTGTGTGGTTCTACATGAGAAAAAAACATAAAATTAATAATTTAAAAAAATCTCCAAATTAGTTTTTCCAATGCTCTTTTTGTATAATGCATTGCCCGCTGTAAATATTTCAATTGGAAACGATGGATGTATTCATAACTAAGACTATATCAATTGCGAAGGGAAATTTGATTAGATATTATTGAAAAGCAGCAAAATAGACTTCAAACTCCACGTATGTCTCTTCTACTTAAAAATCTAAAAGATATATAACAGGTTTATGATAATCCCACTGCTGCATGATAAAAGTCAAAACTTGCTATACTGGTTGCCCCAAAATAGTTACTCTCTCTGTTCCACTTTAAGTGTTACTTTAGAAAATGTTTTTGTTCCACTCCATCTGTCATTTTAGAAAATTATAAAAGCATTAATTATTTCTTTTCGAACTTTATCCTTGTCTCTTTTCATCTCCACTAAATTATTCCATTCTCTTCTTATCACCTTTCTATCTCTGTTATAACCTTTCTCTCTCCTAATTAAGGACTTAGAGAATTGAAAAAATGGTAATTAGTCTATTTCAACTTCTTTTTTCTAGAATTAAGGTTGTTTAATGATTTATTCTTCTGCAATTACCTTAAACAACATTTTAAGATGGAACAGAGGGAGTATCCATTTTGAGGATTCAAAAGAATAGTTGATACATTTCCTATGACAAAAGTTCCATTTTTAGGACAAGGCAAATTTTATTCGATTATTGCTTCATACATTATCAAGGTCAAATTACAAATGATCATCAATGTTTTTATTCATGGCCCTTAAACTCTGAGCTCTTGAAATGGAAAAGCTACTGAGAAACAATTAAATGTTGAACAGGATGTCTGTAGTAATGAAAGGTGTTGAAGCTTCCGACACATAATAGATAACACAAGGATTATGCTTAAGTGAGATGCATAAGTTCTATTTCACTTGCAGCCCGTCTAAAGTGATAAACTGTCCTAATAGGTAATAGCATCTAAACATGTATTACGCTCTAAACCAAATTCAAAGACTGCTTTTGGTTAGAATAGGCTATAAATAAGCTTAAATGACCATATAAATGGGAAAAATAATAGTACCTTTACAAGAATGCGATGGACTCAACTGAGGGAAAGGGAGAAAACCCAGAATAGAATAAAACCGAACCAGCAAACCTCCACCATTAAATCCTTCAATCCTGCCCTCATAGATGGATCCACTTTCAATATAAGCTCTTGCTGCCTCCCAATCAGCCGACCTCTACTTCTTTGCAGAAAAAGTTTGTTAGAACATTACTGTTAAGAAACATCTATCCGCAACTATAAATGAAGCAAAAGAATAATCACACTGAAACCTTTTGAAACTTCGATTGAAATATTCAAACGAAAAGAAGGAGAAGAAATCAAGCACAAAACCCACCCGAGATTGTCCAACAGCATCAGGCGAGGCCACGACAACTGGTGTGGTGGTGTCGGTGACAGTGGCAGAATCGTTAGAATTTGCAGAGATGGAGAATTTGGGAGTGAGAAATGAGAAGCGAGAATTGTGTAAAATTTTATAAGGATTGAAGTTGAAATTGAAATGGGTTGATGGAGCAGAGGCATGGTTGGAGTTGGAGGTGAAGAGTTGCGAAACAAAGGAAGTGTGTATAGGAGAAGCTGTGAATATTGTCATTTTTTTCTTCAGTCAGTATGGGTGATAGGCGCAGAAGTGAGTTGGGAAGCTAAGGCGATTTGGATTGGGTTACTAAATTTTCTGCGATGAGGAGTGGACGTGACAATGCTACGTAGCAGGCTTGACTGTGTAGCGGGTTTAGGTTCGATTTTATAATATTCGTGTCGGGAACCATTAATCAAAATTAATATTATCCACTCTGTAGTATTTTATTTTTATTTAATGTGTAAGATATATACAATTAATGAGTAAATGAAACTATGTATAATTAGCGGTGGCGACGATTTTGGAATCACCAGTTTTTGAAATTTGCGGTTTCGATTACGTTTGTAAATGAACGGTTATGATTACGGTTTCTTAACGGTTCAAAAATTAATAATTTCAGTTGGTTTTCTAATTACTTTTCCGGAAAATTGTACAATTATAAAATCAAAAATTAGGAATATTATTTTATTGAAAATTTAAAATTTAAATATTTATGAAATAATTTTTAGAAAAAACTTTAAGAAAAAATTAATAAAAAGGCTTAATATTAATTTATTTATTTTAAAAAAAGGTTTGAATTTTTTTTTTAGAAAAAGGCTTGAATATAATTTAGTTTTTAAGAAAAAGCTTAAATTTAATTTTTTTAAAATCAAAAGGGAGTATTATAGTAAATATAAAAAATCAATTTTTCACAAATATCCTTAAAACTAACCGGTATATAGTTTTTAAGAGGATTAATTTGAGAATTTCAAAAAAATATTTGAAAAAATAAAGAAAAAAAGTTATTGGAACAGGTGGATCCACCGGTTAAAATCGAAACCGAACCGCAGACCTCCAATTCTGATTTTGATTCGGACCGATTTCGACTCCTCACAATCTTGATTTCAATCCGGTTCCAATAACAGTGAAACGGCCACCCTGTGTATAATGCACAGTTTGCGTCACTTAAAATATTATTTACAATTGAATTTTTTATCCAATTAATGAGTAAGTTAATTGTATGAATTTAAGATATTGAAATGTTTATTTTAAAATATTTTACTTAAAATTTGATTTGTTTGAGCTGGTTAATAGCTTTGTTGAAGTCAAACACGTTGTTAATGACTAATTTCATAGCATGCAGATAGCTCAATTTATTTAGGGATAAAGTCCAATTTTATACTAATAATTTATAAAAATCAAAATAAGTTTAGAGGTTAAATCAGCCTAAAAGATTAAATATGACATTTTTAATTATTTTAAACAAGTTCAAGAGTTGAATTGATTTAAAAAGTCAAATCTGACATTTTATATCCCGTTACACAAATTCATGGGTCATTTTGACCTTTATTCCATTTATTTATTTCATCTGTTCCCAAATACTTGTTATATTTTTTGAGATTTCATCATGTTTTAGTTTTCACATCTCTTAAGAAATCATTTAATTTGTCTAAGTTATAATAAATTGTTGAATAAATTTACTATACTACTCGTAATTTATCTAAGTTACACTAAATTATTGAGGAAGTGAAGCAATCGCTATAGTCATATACAAAGGATAAAAATGAAAAAATAATTTATTATTTATGAAATCTACAAAAGTGATAAGAATTTGGAAACATAATACTTTATCAAATATGATAAGCACATGAGAAAAAGAGTATATCAATAATTTATTGAGTTCTGTATAGCAACTCATGGTAGAAATTTTTTTATGAATAGATCAATAATTTATTGAGTTCTGTATAGCAACTCATGGTAGAAATTTTTTTATGAATAGATCAATAATTTATTGAGTTCTGTATAGCAACTCATGGTAGAAATTTTTTTATGAATAGATCAATAATTTATTGAGTTCTGTATAGCAACTCATGGTAGAAATTTTTTTATGAATAGAGAAAGCAATCGCTATAGTCATATACCAAGGATAAAAAATGAAAAAATATTTATATTTAACTGAAATCATCAATAATTTATTGAGTTCTGTATAGCAACTCATGGTAGAAATTTTTTTATGAATAGATCAATAATTTATTGAGTTCTGTATAGCAACTCATGGTAGAAATTTTTTTATGAATAGATCAATAATTTATTGAGTTCTGTATAGCAACTCATGGTAGAAATTTTTTTATGAATAGATCAATAATTTATTGAGTTCTGTATAGCAACTCATGGTAGAAATTTTTTTATGAATAGAGTAGTGCAGTAGCAATGTTTTAAGAATTGAACCAGTCATTGAACCAGTAAAGGCTTGAATTTACTGAATAGGAAGATTCAACCAGGTTCAATCAATTCAATCACATTTTTTATATAATATTTTTAAATAATTTTTTAAATATAACAAAATATATAATTTGTAAATACTAATATTTTGCAAAAGAATAAAAATGACTAATTTAATATTAAAAATAATTAATTCACATAAATCTATTTTTTATTTTGGTTTGGTTCAATTTAAATCGAATCGCTCACCCCTTTCGACGTATACCAACACAATCTGAACCTACTAAAAATTAGACTTGATTATTCCTTTTTTTTTTTTTTCTTTTTAGGTGAACTGTTTTTTAGCTATCTATCTATATATAAATATAGTAATCCAATCCGATTTAACCTAACCCCACCCAAGATCCAACCCGATAACCCAACTCCACCCGAGATCCGACCTTAAATCTAACCATTATAATACGGGGTAGGTATCCGACAGGCAAGTTGAAAACGGATACTACAAATGGCTCTCTGTGAATCCAACTAAACAATGGCATCCAGTGTGCCACAATTTCAAAATGTTATGTGAACAAAAAAACAATTAGGAGCTTTTCCCTCCATTTGTTTTTTCGGAAGAGATAATTGAATGCACTTGACTGATGACAACAATGTGATGAGAGAATTTATGCTTTCAGTGAGATAATTCTTTCTAAATGCTTTACAAATTATATATCATATACACATTTCAACCATCTTTTTTGGGATATTCTTTTGACCTGCAATCCTCTAATGAATCATTAGATAATTTTAACTCATGGTTGCGTCAGCCAACTCTTTTTGCTCCCGGGCAGCGAGCAACTCGTAATCCTGCAAAGTAATATACATACAAAGTTTAGCACATTTCATCCGTTCACTTTCCCTGTCTCAATTCAGTTTTCCATTTCTTTTCCTTTAATATTTTATGGAACAAAGTTAAGATATCAAACACAAGAGGGTGGGTAGTGCGGATTCTGGATTTGAGTCCTCATCAAACCAAAATAATGAGTTGAAAAAAGTGGAGGGTTAAATCTTCTTGTGTAGCATACAGACCATTAGGACTCTAAAGAACAAAATATAATATAAAAAACCATCTTCCTTTGATTTTTATTTTCTCTTGTTTTCTATTGTGTGTGCGTGTGCGGAAGCATGTGCAGTTATTCGAAACACAGCAAGTTTTTCCTTCCAAACTAAACTTTTGTCAAGGCCATTACACAGATTTTAATTATAAATATATAAAAGAAAAGTCAAGTCCCAGCAGCAAGTACCTGCACGATGGCCTGTGCGCAAAGCTTCCCAGATAGAACAGCACCCTCCATTGAAGCCAAATATTTTTGTTTCGTGTAATCACCAGCTAAATAAAAGCCCTCTACAGGAGATCTTTGTAAGGGACGACAAGGTTCACAATTTGGAATAGTCTTGTAAACAGACCTGAGAAAATTTAGGAGGCAGGCCCCAGAAGGGAAATGGAGATTTAGTAACCAAGTATTTCAAAATGAAGAAAATGCTAGAGAAAAGAACAAGAGGATTTGAAGTTCTACATAGTAAACACAAAAGAGATTGTAAGGATATTGTTCTGTTCACAATTAATGGCCAAGATGCAGTTTCCCTAAAATCAAGCAATGTCAATTATTACTTCACCATGTCCAATGGATAATTTCTAGATGGACGGCCTCAGTCTAACCTTGGAGTTTTAACAACATGGTACTTCAAAATTTTCGCTTTGCTCTGATCTGCTGCTATCTCATCAGGAAAGAGTTTTGCAAGTTCCTTCATTGTAGCATTGATGATTTCTGAGTCACTACGTGAGATCCATTCTTCTGCAGGCGCAAAAACTAACTCCAGCATCGACTGATTTGGACTATAATATTCCTGTTTAACAATGAAATAGTGAATAAAAAGTTATTAAGTGTATTGATGTGAGAAAAATAATGCAGTTGGAGGTGGTAGAGGGACATGTACGTCAATTTTATCCATAAGTAAACTTTCTTAACATATATCAACTGAAGGAAGAAAAAAATCTCATTCACTTTCCATCTATGGTAACATAATAATGTCCATATGTATATATATTCTACTTATAATAAAAAATTAAAAAAATATGCCATTGGGCTAGTAGTCAAGCAATCAAGTCCTGGCCTCATAATGCAAAAAGACACAAGATTCAAATCCCTGGCTACCCCTGTTCTTAAAGAATTTCCGATCTACCAAAAACAAATCACAAGAATATGATACCATAGGTAAGGGTTTAACACAAATGCGCTTTGTTTTAATTTGAATTAAAATGGTCCATTTCAAAAATAAAAAAATTAATATTACTTCAATCCATTTGGCGCTTCCAATCAGCAGAAAAATGCAGCTGTGCCATCTTGAAAATTTTACCTAGTTCAGGCATTCCAGTTGAAAATCACAAAAAAGTTTGGTGCTCGAGAAATATCGTTATCCTTATATCAAGTTTTAAAATGAACAAAAGTTAAAATAAAATAAAAACTAACCCTTAACACAAAAACAACCTAATTCTGAAAATGTCAATCAAAAATTGTTCAACAATCCAATTTATGTTGTTCTATTTCTCATGGCAGAAAAAATGCACATTAACCATTTAAATCAGGCTCAACAGAAAATATGCACAATCTGTGCTTACTGACTGAAAATCATATTTTATCACAAATTATAAATTTTAAGGAAAACAGCAATGATTGCCATCCACATGAAAAAAATACAGCAATTTGTGGTGGCTCAAGGACATAAGCTCAGAATATATGTTAGCTTGCATGTGTGTGCAAACTGAAAACCATTAACTACAACTTTACCTTACACGTCACCGACATGTCAGCATAAACACTCAGAAGGGAACTTCTGCATGTCCAGAGAAGAAAAGGATGCAATTAGTAAGAAAGGCTTCTGTTTAAAATTCAGAATTATTATTATGAGAACATTAACCCGAACAATCAATGAATTTTCACAACCTTCAGAAAACTAATATGTTGTAGGAAGCAAGTCACATCATGAGCATGAGAAATTTCTCTCTATGCCTAAAAGAACTGATGCAAGATTTAGGAGCAGTACCTGCTGAAAAGTAGGTGATCATATGCATTCTTTAGTTTCCTATCAAACCTGAAAGAAAAGGAAGTGCACCAGTGAGCTTTGGTGCTAGTATCTGAACCTTTGATAAGATTATATGAAATGTTATATACGCAAGTCTGGCCTAAAATTAATTGCATATCATTATCTGGGTCAACATGCAATTAAAATGAGAAGATATTATTTATAGAATACAATAAGTGAGGTTTAGCAAGAACGTTTCCATCGTGTACCAAGGAATCACATTACAATACCACTCTACTGAATGCCAATGAACTCCCCACCTCATCAAATTATTCTGTTCAATTTTTCAAACTTTCATGCCACATACTAAACAAGGAAAAAATCTATCAATTCACACAAACAAACCACAAAAGGGAAGAGCACTTTTCTATCCGTTACTCATCAATGGCAAAGGAATTCTCACTGACCATATGTGAACATTAATAACAGGAACTCCAACTAATTTTTCCAATTTGTTGAAGTACGGAATCTCTTTCCAGCTATCAGGCAGAAGAAGCTTCAGGATATCAACTGATGGAACAAGATACAGTAACAGTATTAGAGAAATTGGAAGAGAGTAAAAAACAGAAGTTATATTATTGTGATAAAAAACTCAAATTTATACCTGGAGTGGCAAACACATAAGCATCTGCTTCAATTACGTCCCCAGTATTCAGTAAGAAGCTTCTCACTGTCCCATCATTATTTAGCTCAACTTTCTTTATTCGTGAATTCAGCCGGACTTCACCTCCCAATGATTGAATATGATCAACAATTGGCATACAGAGTCTCTCCGGGGGGTTTCCATCTAAGAAAGCCATTTTTGAACCATGTTTCTCCTGTTGATATATGACCCCAACTCAGTTAGTTTCGTGTTGTAAGGATCCTTTTCCACCTTAATTTCTTAGGTGAATTAGTGAAAAAAATATTGAATAATATTTAGATGATCAGAGAGAAGTTCCAAGTCTGTTGCAATTTAACCTAAGAACAATAAGTGAAATAATCATCACTAATCTGCTTAACCATAACAGTTATTACTTATGAGGTCATTCAAGGCTCTTGTGTCGCGTCTTCCACAGGAGAATGAAACCTTTCTATTCAGCCAGCTTCAGACATATAACTTGAAAAACATAATAAATATCATTACATATGTAACATATATTCAGGCTAATGAATTGACAAATGGTATGTTTTATGCATGTAACATTTTAACCTATCATATTATTACAATTGCACATTACAATTGCATAAAGGAACAAAAAGAATAACCAATAGATTTACCACAAACGGGAAATGATTTTATGGCAGGACCATGCACCAAAAGTTCAACAAGAATATCAAACCAACAAAATGAACTTCAATATTGTAAGAGCAAATTAGCATATTTGGGAAATAATCAGATTAGCAATAATAACTTGAGGCTTCCAAAACAATCAGTGTAAATATACAAGCCAGAAACTACTTCCATACAATAAGCTTGAAACAACAATTCTATCAATGCTCCAAGAAAAAGAAAAAAAAAAAAAAAAAAAAAAAAAAAAAAACATACAATAAGCTTGAAACAAACAATTTCTATCAATGCCCAAGAAAAAGAAAAAAAAAAAAAAAAAAAAAAAAAAAAAAAAAAAAAAAAAACAACTTTGATACCAATTGTCTATCCAATAAAAGAGGTATAAATTTTCATGCCTCATGATAAGGAAAAAAAACATTTAGCATACCTGAAGAAATCGGTTCAGTGCTATCAATATACATTGCATCGAAAGTTCATCTGGGTTAATAAAGTTAAGTGCCTTTGACATGGCGATAAACACCTCTTTAGTCACTCGATCAGGAACCCCCTAACAAACAAAAGAACAGGTTATGTGCTATCTCGAATCATTTGTAAAGCTTATGCTTCTTCATGGGTAATTGACATAAATTCAATAAAATTAACTTTCACGATACATGATTAGTCTCTTTATTTATTTATTTTTTTTTTTTTTTTCTTTTAGGGAGATAAAAAATTCACATAAAAGGAGAATACAACATATAATTAACTTTCACCGTATTATATTTAGCAAGAGGATCATTGATCATAGGGTTTGCCAAAAAATATAGTAATTAGACATATTTAGGCATTCACAAATTGCAAAAATAGTGAATGAGTATCGGGGTCATGACTATAATGTTTATGCAGCACTTAGAAATTTCAAAGCAAACAGAGTGTATATAAGATTTTAAGAATACAAAAGCAAGCATGGAATTATAGGCACAACAATCATAACTGTTCAGTAGGCTAATAGTTCATTAGTTTGAAGTTCCTGTGCCAGCAATTGTGTGCAGAAATTCACCTGGTGTGGTCTATGGAAAAAGCTTCATCTCTTAGCTAAGTTTCATAATTGGATATCAGGAAGGGCCAAATTCATGAGCCTTAACCTATGTAGCTACATCTATAGTAGCTTTCTAATTATTGTTGTCGACATTTGCCCATAAAGTATACCTGCTTTCTCATCCATTCTTGAACGGTCAAACCATCTTGAGCCTCAACATATGCTTGTCCACCAAGCATTGCTGGAAGAAGTCCAATTGCAAATTTTACTTTCTCAGGCCATGTCAGCATCTCATTGTTTTTTAGAATTGCCCATATCCCTGTCAATCAGATTTACACCAGATGAAAAATAATTTGACATGAAATATAAATGGAAAAAAAAACAATGCTTCTTACATACATGTACAAGAACCATTAGTTAATAACCACTAAAGTCACTCAGTGTAACAGCTAAAAGACAGTGGGAAAAAGGACACTAGTCATGCACTATGAAAAGCAACATTTCTATACAACCTTTACTTCACTGTATATGGCAAATAAGACATGGGAAGGTGCTTGCGTCTTATGATTTTATGGAAAAGATAAAGTCATAAAGGCGAAGCCTTTTTTTTTTTTTTTACTTAGTATGGAAACTTTAAGCCAGGTTTCAGCACCACTTCAAGAAGGTAATTTATATTTTATAATCTCTAGTCATATATTTCTCAAGCCCCAGACCCACATAACCAACTTAGTGAAATTCCAGGAAATGGGACATTGTTGACCTCAATTGAGTTAAGTTTCACAACCTCTAGATCGTATCCTCAATTCTTATATCATCCAAAAAGGTCATATATACAGATGGAATATATTTTCTTCTTATTATATGCTTGTAAACCTACAAAAACTTTAACTAGAAATGGTAAACATTAAAGTGTGTGTTTGAGGATGTACCTGTATGTATGCACGTATTCTATGTTAAATGTGCATATGTAATGGCAAGTAAACTTGGAGGTGTTGAAGTTGAGAAAACATGGCATCCAAGTTATATTCAAAGCACCAACTCTGTTGCTAAAATAGGAACTTTGCAAACGATAAAGTGAACGTCTCAATTAGTTGATATAACAAATAACATTAGGTCAAGCATTTATCATTATACCAAAGAGACAGCCGTTCCAATGATTTTACAGCTTCACTTCCTCTTACATAAAGTAGAATGAAATTTCAGGTGGACATAAGATGCTTACCATTGAATGGAGCAGGGAGAACCTCAGCAAAATCAAACCGGCTGAATTCTCCAGGCTTGTTTGGCATTGCAAATATCATTGAATGCTCCTTCCACTGCAACCTATCATTGATGCCAAGTTCTCCAAACAAGTTCTGGACGTTTGGGTATGCTCCAACTAGTAAACCAAAGAAGATTGTTCCAATAAGTTCAGTAGATTTTTTTTTTTTTTTTTTTTTTAAAAAAAATTGTTCAAATAAGTTATACGATTTTTTTTTTTTTTTTTTTTTAAAATTTTTTTTTTTTTTTTTTTTTTAAAAAAAGAAGGTAAGACCTCATAACCCATAAAGAAACACCCCTCTGGAATCAACACGGGTAATACTGAATATTCAGCAATATTGGAAAGGAAACCACAAATATGGCTATTCTATTCCAAACTTCCAGCCAACCATGTCATATTAATGGACCAATAATGGAATGAAATTAAAGCATCATCATAAAGTGAAAAACAGAATTCGTGAAGGAACTGATAAGACAGCTTCCCTAGTCAACAGTGATGGGGAAAAATAACAAAAATGAAACAAGAAAGGAACAAGATTAAAATTCCCCCAAGTCCTTGGAAGCTGAAACTTACAAAATATGTGCAAGCCTGTTTCATACCAGTCCCCATCATCATCTTTCCATGCAGCCACCTGTATACAAAAGAAATAACATTTAAATTGAAATACAAAAAATAAACGAATGAAACGTAAGACTTTTGCATCTTTTTATATGGAGAAGAAACATAAAATAAAGAAGTGTGCAATTATTTCAGTTAATTCTTATTATATTATCGTTGTTGTTGTATTCAATCCAAACCCTTATGCCATTAGGTGGAGGGACTTAACACACTTTATAAGGCCACATCAAACTTCAAACAGTGTTGATATCGGATTATTCCAGAGCATGCTCATAAGATCAGTTGAACACTACAACAGAACATACTTGACAATGGCCAAGAAACAGGATTAGCACGTGGAACATGAAAACACAAGATAATAGTCGCTTACTAATGTAGCATAAACAAAGAAAGAAAGGAAGAGTTAAAGAAATACGAGTAAAGAATTAGGCTAGGATGAAAAGACAAGAACCAAGAGTAGAGAAGAAAAAGGAGAGACGTAACAAAAACAAAACAAGACAATAGAGGCAACAAAAGATTATATAGAGAATAAAGGAAAAAGGGGAAGACTAAAAGCAAGAAAATAAGAAATTCAATAATCAAATATTCTTAGTTCTTATTGGAGTCTGTTCTAAACCACAATAGGGCTGCATTCATATAGGCCCCAAAAGCACCTGCTAAAACAACAGCAACAACTAACCCTTAGTCCCAAACTAGTTGGGTTCAGCTATAACAAGGTAGAAGGACCCCAAATAATATAAAATATCAAAAATAGCAAATTAGATTATTAATATCTCCAAGTAGTAAAATTTACAAATACAGCTATATTATCAAAAATTAAAAATTTAAAACAAAAAGGTCTCAACTCTCTTTTTCTGCATCACTTTTATACATTGATAGGTTCAGCTGCAACTTATTCAAAGTGGCTAAAAGTAAAACCTTTCCGCCAAGAACATCTCTTGCTTCCAATAATAGAGGCTTGTGCCCCGCATCTGCCAAATATTTTGCAGTCGATAAACCAGCCAACCCTGCAGCAAGTTGGAAAATATGCATTCTAATGAGTTAAAAAATAAAAATAAAAAGTAAGAAGAAAGTCCACGGACATTAATGTAGACAATAAAGCATTAATTTCTATATCAGCTACATAGCATCAAATGCTTAGTGCACAAACTAGTTCCTACCCATATCCCAATGCATATCTAGTTCATGTTCAACCATGGACAAAAAAACAATAAACCCAGAATTTGAAAAATCTTATCAAGGAACCTACAGATGATTGATCTTAGATCTATTCATGCAGCACTGGACAAACATGCCCAAAAATACATTTGCAATTAATTAAAAAAAAAAAAAAAAAAAAAAACATTGCAATTTAATTAAAAAAAAAAAAACAAAAAAAACCAGATAAAAAAAAAAAAAAAAAAAAAACCAGATACGTTCATTGCATATGAGGGAAATCATCAATAGCATTTGAAATTGATTAAAAATTTACCCAACTAACATATACCCACCACCCCATTTACAACTGAGATGTGAATAACAAATGGAATATTGATAAAGCATCCATCAAGTGTAATACATCATAATCAACAACAGAAGAACAAATTTTGTAATAAGAATGGTTCAACAAAGCAATTATCGGAAGCGACATGAATCTGATCTTTCACAAATCACAAAATTATTTTTTTTTATTGAAAAGAAATGGAAAAAAAATAAATATCAATAAGAAAAACAAAATGTTCCATAAGAATTTCATTACCTGCACCAGCAATCACAACCTTCAATGGTTTAGCTGGACGTGGGGAAGAACGAAAGGATGATGATAAATATGCAGCTTCCAAGAAATTCACAGTATTATCAAGGTCTGGTCTAGGATAATCCACACAAACTACCTGCACCATAGTAAAACTAATAATATTACCTTGTAACCAAAAAAAAAATGAAAAAGATGCTAAAATATAATACAAAGAAACAAACCTGCAACGGGCAGTTACCAGTTCTTAACCTTGTTTTAGTAGCATTTCCAAATGATATTCTCAAAGCATGGCCCATTGGCTCACTGCCTCTAAAAGCTAGTCCATTGGTTTGCTTAGAACAAGAAGGGTAACCACATCTAATGTTGGGTTGCAAATTTCTAGCATCTAAGATATCACTGGTACAACTTAAGTTCAGTGCAGAAACACTCCCATACAAAGTCATTTTTCAAAACCAAATCTCAAATTAGTTTCCTATATCACAATTTAACAAAAATAACCTATAATTGCAACCGTCAGAACCCTGCAACAAATAAGCAAACAAAATCCAAATTAAGAAAGCATCAATAATCCAAAGTTTACCTTCAAAAACTAAACCAAACTAACTAATTCTTGCAATTCAAAACGAAAAAGAAAAAAAGAAAAAAAAAAAAAAAAAGCATAGAAAAAAGAAAAAAAAAAAAAAAAAAAAAAAAAAAAAAAAAAGCATTCCTTCTATAAGAAAAAAAAACTACAAATTGAAAATTGAGGAGTTATCATTCAAAAACAGAGAAAAGAAAAGAAAACCAAGAAAAGAAAGAAGCAATTCAAGAAAGAAAAGGAACCAAGACAAGAGAAGAGATTGAGAGGTTAGAAGCAAATTTCCTTCTTAACCTTAGAAAAAGAAGCCAAGTGCTTCAAGCAAGAAAGACGGATGAGGAAGCAACAAAAGGGAACGGTATAGTGGCAGTGGTGATAATAAATAGTTGGTGGGTTTTTCTGGTAATGGGAAATAGGAAGTGGATTTTAGGCTTCTGTTTGGTCACAGTTGAGAAATGAGAATATTCCGTTGAGACGGTTAGTAAACAAGAGTCCAACAAGATTCCACTTCTCGTTTTTGGATGCTATAATTGAATGTCGTAACATTTAATCGGAGAAATTTAGGATACATTTTTCTTTTTAAGTATTAAAGAGGGAAATTTAAATCAAATATCAATTGTCGACTCATATATGTTTTGACCACTAAATTATGTTTTAGTGTGTAAATTTAAAATATATTTAATTGTTAGAAAACTTAAAAATATACATACACTTTCTGTCCATCAAAAGTATCACAAGTTTAAATTATATAGGCTTGGTATAAATCTAACTCAAAATGTAGAATCGATTTAATTTATGCATGAATTTTTTATATTTAAATAAATTTAAAAATTAAAAATTTATTCGCTTTAATTTCTAAAATATCGTTAGCGCAATAATTTTAAAATAGTAGAAGAATAAAAATTTTATCAGAAACCTTTAAAATGGTAGAAGGATAAAAAGTTTTGTCATAAAGTTTTGATTGTTTAAGTTTTTTGGTTCATTTGGTAATTGCATCTTTTTTTAGAATTTAGTTTAATAATATTCAAATCCATAAAATTGAATTGTATAATTGAATTATTCATTTTCTTTTTCATATTAAACATAAAAATTTATATTTATAAATGAATTTTATAAAATTTTGCATAATTCATTTATTTCAAACAATAGGATAATTAGTTACATATAAGTTCATTAATGGAATTAATTTTTTTTAAAAAAATTATAATATTTTTTAAAAAATAATTTCAAGAAAATATTTTTCTTTTAAAAATATAATTCATTAATAATAATATTTCAAAGAAAATATTTTTTCTTTTAAAAATCATTAATTCATAATAATAATAACGGTACCTATATAAATTAGATATAGAATTAATTTTTATCTAATTAAATTAATAGAATTTAGTTGGATTTTTTAACCAAACCAAAAAGAATTATATTCTTTTTTGATAATAAATAAAATCAAAAATATAAAATATTTATATATTTTTTTTTGCTTGAAAGATAATCTTGCGCAAAAGATATTAAAATTTCAATTAGTTTTACAACTAGTCCCATTTATTGATTTTTTGGCTTTTAATAAAAAATTTTTATTTTTTTTAATTAAATAACTAAAAGTTAAGATTATTAATATTACATCTTTCCGCTATGAAAATATATTCTTGTTTAAAAATATAATTCATTAATAATAATAAGGTACCTATATAAATTAGATATAGAATTAATTTATCTAATTAATTAATAGAATTAGTTGATTTTTTAACAAACCAAAAGAATTTATATTCTTTTGAATAATAAACTAAAATCAAAATATAAAATATTATATATTTTTTTTTGCTTGAAGATAATCTTGGCAAAAGATATAAATTTTCATAGTTACAACTAGTCCATTTATTGATTTTTGGCTTTTAATAAAAAATTTATATTTTTTAATTAATAAACTAAAATTAAAAGATATAATATTACATCTTTCCGCTTGAAAATTATCTTGATAAAATATATAAATTTTCATGAAGCAATTAATCCGTTAAATGATTTGGAAAACAAAATAATAACTTCTACTCACAATATTTAAATTTTTATGAATTTTTGCTATTATACGTCAATAACATTAATAGAAGAACAAGTTGAATTACCAGGCTTCATTAATAGAAAATCCACTTTGCAAAGCTAAAGTTTCTAATCAAATAAAATCAAATATTAGATTTTTATTTAATAATAAACTCTAAAAAGAAAGTGACCAAATCCTTACAAAAAAAACTCTAATTATGGAGACAAAACAAGGATAACAAAAACAAAGAAAAAATATATAATAAATTTAAATTTATTAAAACGAATAAAAGATTAATAGTGAAAAAAAGAGTAAAATGCAGAGGCTATCGATCAACAACAACAGTCTCAAACTAAAATTAAGATTAGATGAACATAGATAATTAAGAAAGTATTTTTAAAAAGTTGAATTACATGTTAACCGACAATAAAAGTTTTCTAGAAAAGCAGCATAATTATAACAATAAATATTATTATGTAATTTAAAATGTATTATCTTTTATAGAAATCTAATTTTCCCACCACTTGGTATGGAAAAGTATCTTATTTATATATATACATGGACAAGTAGAATGAGGCCTATCTTTAATTGGTTATGAATGATTATTAGATTTGTCAGTAAGTTTACAACGGGCTTTGGTAGACAATATTCTAGTATCGATCCAACTGAAGGTTAGAAGTCGTGACATGAAAATCTTATCATTAATTTAATGACCATCTAAAACATTAAACCAAAAGAGAAAAAAAATATTTTTTTTATTAAGAAAATTAAGAAGAACATGGAGATACTTAAAATATTTTTTTAAGTTAAACATATAATGGATTATTAAAATTAAAAAAAAAAGAAAATGAAGAGTGTTATGTTTTAGAAGAAAATAATTCTGCATATTAGGACAATAAATTTATTATATGGTCATTAATTTTTTTTTTTAAATTTAATAATTCATTAATAATGAATATGAGTTGAGTACATCATAATATTTTTATAGGAATAAAAAAAAATACAAATATAGAAAATTGAAATCTTCTAGTTGGAGATGTTTTGATCTTGATAAAAAAAATTAATCTTCCAGGTAAAAACTGATCCCTTTTCAAATAGGATGATAAAAAAAAACCTTCCACAATATTGTCCTGAACATTGTTTTTTGGAAACAACTGATAGGGTTTAATATAACAAACTTTAATGGTGGAATAGGCCGCACTACCAAATTTTATTGATAAAAGAAACTTATCTGAATTTGAAGATCTGAAGTCTCCAACTATAAGCAACTAATAATCTATTTTGTATTTCAGAGTGCTAGAGAAATAAAATATCTATATAAAAATTCCTCAATAACTAGGAACAATCCCATGAAAGAAAAGAAATTAATAACCCAATAAGAGGATACCAAGAATATTCAAGATCTATCAACTATTACAGATCTAAAAGGCTAAATCTAAATTTTGTTCTAAATGATTATAGATTTGGAAATTATTAAAAAGAAAACTAAATAAAATAAAGAAAAACGATAACGAGGGACGAAAAGAAACCACCGTCAATGAAACAAGACAGTCCGTGGTGGTTTACTTGAGATAATTTGGATTTGTGAAGACTTTGATTTTGAAAGACTAACCCTTGCTAAAATTTCAAGTTGAATTTGAAATACAACAGTTTTTTATATACAATACCACTCGCGAGAAACAAAATTTAGAAAAACACACAAAAAAAAAAAAGCAAGAGAGAGACGAGTAGGATTTTTTCTTTTAATTATTGAAAGTAGAAAATGAAAGGTTTGTAATATCGGTAAAAGAAAATGAAGAGTTTTATATTTTATAAGGCTAAACTTTTAAACAAACCCCAACTTTACGAGTAGTTTTAGTTGCACTCTAAATTCAACTTTCTTCTCTTGCTACTTAAAATCCAACTTTAGACGCAATAACACCCTAATTTCAAATTGAACTCAATTTAATGAATATAATATTATTTTTATGAGACACACACTCTCATGGTCAAGTTAATTAAAAGATAATTAAATTATAAATAATAAAAGAAATTTAATAAATAATAATATGATACATCAATTTATTGTGTGGTTATTAGTTATTGAAAAACTAAAGAGTTCTATTATATTAATGCAATAAATTTATTCTTTAGATAATTGATTGTTGAAAAAAATAAATAAAATTAAAGAGTTTTTTCATTAATCCATAAATCTATTATACGATTATTAATTATTAAAAAAAAACTAAAAAGTTGTTTGATTGATGGAATAAATTTGTTATATGGTTCTTAATTATTGAAAAAAAGGAAATGAAGAGTTTTATTATTTATTTTTTCAAATTAAATACTTGATAAAACAATAATAATAAAATTTAAGAAATATTGAAATATCGAAATGATATAAGCACCTATAAAGTATTGAATTTGTTTTAACATTTATATAAAACAAATAAATTTTCCATGGATTGATAAGTAGGATTTCTAAAGTTAGATTCTAGAGTTTAGTAATATCTATTCATTCAAAAAATTGATTTAAAATGATATATTTATTACCGATTTAAAAATTAATTATATAAATATTAAAAAATAATTTTATAAAAAGTGATATTTACATAAATTTATAAAAGAATAATAATTTTTATTTATGTAAGCACAAGCATAAATAGTATACCATATGGGCTAAGGGGAGAGCTACTTGCAAAGGGAAGAGTCTAAAACCCCGATCCGACGTAGTATTGGTCCTCAATGCTTTCCAAACATTAAACACGCAAAACGACCTAGTCTTTGGTGAAAGAATAACTAACCCTAACCATAGCCATTTTTCTTCTTCGACTCTATCTATTTCTGTGCCGTTCAAGCGTAGTGGTGAATCAAACTCAGTTACTCAGACTTCAATCAGGTTCAGAACTCTCTAACTCTCTGTCGCTTTTTTGATCATCATATCTTTTGAACTGATTATATTTACAAATTTGGCATTGCTTAGGGTTTTGAAATGGCATCGAATGCAGCAGTGCCCTTTTGGAGAGCAGCGGGAATGACGTACATTACATACTCTAACATCTGCGCGAATCTTGTCCGGAACTGCCTCAAGGAGCCCTACAAGAGCGAAGTTTTAGCTCGCGAGAAGGTCCATTTCTCCATCTCCAAGTGGACTGATGGAAAGCCCCAAAAACCCAGTATGATTTCTCTCTCTTTAAGTGGTTTCTTTCGTTTTATCGATCATTTTGTTCAATTGATTGTCTGCAATTCAGTTTTTCGTTGAATGATTTTGATTATGTTGAAATTTGAATGGAGATTATCTTTGTTTCGTTCTTTTTCATTCTATATATCTATCTAATCTTATTGTAATTTATCCTAAATTGGATCTGAATATTTTCTTTTCATGGTCTCGTGTTTTTCTTTATAATTTGGTTCAATTGATTTTTTAATTTAATTGGACATTTGAGTTGAAATTATCAAATTTTTGGTCTTTTTTTTGTCATTTCTTTCTTGTTAAGGAGGTTAATTAGATTTGAATAACGTGGCTCCCTGCATTTTTAGATAGTACCAGGAGATTGATAATAAGATTATAATTTATCAGGTATTCCAATGAAATGTAAACTTCATTTGGTTGGAAATGTAATTATTTGCAATTTATTTTGATCTTCTCCTTTCAGGGTGGAAAAGTTGCATTATTTTCTTCTCCTTTCTCATTACCAGCTATAAATAATTGGGATCTCTTTGGTGTGTTTCATTTATTCATAATTTAGCTTATTCAATGGTATAAATTTCTGAATTGCTGGTCATTAGGGCTATTTCTTATTATGGCGTTAGTCTTCTACAAGGTAATCAGGAAAGTGAAACGACATAAAATTAGGGATTGGGTTAAAATTGATTAAAATTACACTCCCACCACAGCTAAACTGAACATGAAAGGTAAAGAGCGAACCATTATTAAGTAAAATGCGAAGGACCCAATACAAAGATTGAATTTGATACCATGCTATAAACTAGACTGCAAGTGAAAAATAAAAAGTGAGAATCTTTTACAAGTTTTGATGGGTACCTTACCTTGTTAAGATATGGGGTGGAGAGAATCCAAACATAGGGCTACTTGAAATGCAACCAAAGTAGGATGGCCACCAAGCTTACAAGCAAAAACATGCAGCTTTCACCTGAACCATCCCAATACCATTAATCATGACCAAGATTCAAATCCTTTCTAATGATTGAATCTTCCATGAATAAACAACTCTTTCTTGGTGGATGTGTTCAGATCTTGTCCTTGAATTTTATTAAAAAATTACTTGGTCAATGATCCATTGGTTCATTATAGATATTAGGTCTCCAATTTTGAATTTCTCACTTGGTATGGTGCTAGTTATGAAAATTATTATAACTGTATGTTCTTGATCTTTATCCAGTACAAGACTTGAGAGGACAGATTCTTATGAACAAGAGACATTTACATAAGGGGAAGGCACATACAATGTAATTGTCAATAGTTATTTCAGTAAGCCTACCTTTTTCAGAACTATGAAATACCCATGGCCTGTAACGAGTGCTTGGAGTAATTGACATGGCTTGTCGTTCCTGGTTGTCCTTTGTTGTTACTCATTAGTATACTGTCCTAAATGCTCATGTTGTCATCAATTCAATAAAAGAATACCAAGAAAGAAAAGCAATCGAAGAAAGACCAAACATTGAGAGGTTAGAGGCAAATTTCCTGCTTCACCTTAGAGAAGGAAGAGAAGTGATTCTAGCAGGAAAGGAAGTTAAGGAAGCACCAAGAGGATGATATATAGGTAGTGGTGATAATTAAGAGTTGGTTTTTTTGAATGGGGAAGTGGATTTTAAGCTTTTTTTGGCCACTGTTGAGAAATGAGGATATTCCGCCTCTTGTTCCTTGTGTAGGTTTAATGGGACATTTGAATTGAAATCATCGAGTCTTTGGTTTTTTCGTCATTTTCTTATTAAGGTGGTTAAGCAAGATTTGAGTACTGTGGCTCCCTGCATTTTTAGATAATGTTAGGAGATTGGTAAAAGAGTATACTTAATCTGGTATTTCAATGATATCTAAACTACATTTGGTTAGACATGCGATTATTTGCACTTTTTATGTAGCCTTTTCTATTGAAAAAAATAAGCATCCAGATGCAGGAGTGGTGAAGAAAAAAAAAAAAAAAAAGCCTTTTGCTTCTCCACTAAATCAAAGATGCTACTTGAGAAATGCCATCTGATGTGATAAGGATTAAACATACGATCTTATCATTTAGGAAGTCTTAATTAAGAAGGTAGCTTTAATCCATAAGCAAATATCTAACTCCTAGTTGTGTTCCATGCAGCAGTAATTGCCTGATGACCGCTGACTCACAAGACCAGTAGAGCAGGAGTAAATTGAAATTTCTTTTTAAGTTTGAAAATGGAAATATATTTCTTGGATTTTGGGCCTTGTTGTGGGTCAAGTAGAATCTGTTCCCGCTGTGCTCGGGCAAAATTGCTCACTGAGGCATTCTTGGCTTTGTTAGGTAGTTCTCAATTAGCCTTAGCAATTTGGCCTTATAATTTTTTTCTGCCTTTATAGAGAGCCAACGTTGGTTCTAGGCAGTAAAGGCAACTGATAAGGTTCCAGAATTTGTGCATGACGAATAACATATGTTGGGTAAGTAGTCCATTGCAGGGTGGAAAAGTTCTGTTAGAGAACCATCTCCTTTCTCATTACCAGCTATCAATATTTGGGTTCTCTTTGACGTGGTTTCATTTATTGATAATTTAGTCATTAGGTCTATTTCTTGTTTATGGCAATGCGGAATTAGTGTTCCAGAAGGTCCAATTATGCATGCATTGTATCAGGGGAATTGTTTCTGGTGTTACTGTATGTGCGAAAGAATATCTCTAATCAGTGGCATCCTAGCACAGTCACGATGTTGCCTCTTATTTTAAGTTCTTGATGCATCTAATATTCATGGATAATAACATTCGTTCTGATAACATTCTGTTGGTTTGTAACAGCTATTCGTTCCGATACGCCTGAAGCTTGAGTCTGATGCTTGGTCTTTTGAATATCTAAATGAAGGGATGGCCTTTCACAATGGTTTTTTCTTCTGTTTTCTGTTTGGTTGACTGGAATTTGTTGGGTATGTAATTTCCTGATTAAAACAATGATCAAATTTCAGGCATTCATAATAATGTAACTGCTATTAGCAGACTCCTGGTCTTGGAGCCTAATGAGAAATTGTGCTTAGAAAATTAGAGCAGCTCGTGCTTTTTTCTTTCAGATGTGTCGTGCAATAATTTCATTTCATGTTAACATATGTATGGCAGTCTTTTATTTTCATCCTGAATCCTTTCAAACTATACCTTTTTCCACCCTTTCATTTAAATGCATTTCCCAAATACTTTGGCAGAAAGGGAAAGAAAATGAAAAAGACGCCATCTATTTTTTGATGATTCTATGTCTTTAACATTATAACTAATTACAATTAATTATGGCAAATTAAACTCAAATGATCAGTTGTCATAAATTACTTTACCGTCTCATTTTGTTGGACAAAACATCGTATATTATGAATTTAGTCAATAAAAATTATTTTATTCTTTTTTATCCATTCATTAAGATATTAATAAACAATTATAAGAATTATTATGAGAAAAATAATTATTTCACTGTAAAAATTCAGAAATTTTGCAAATATTTTGGGATACTCAAAAAAAAATAAAAAATAAAAAAAAATAAAAAACAAACAAACAAACAAACAAATTGGGATATCCAAAAAGAAATAACAAACAAAATGGAATAGAAAGGGTAGCAAAATCAATTTCTTTGTAATTATATACTTTAAGTGATATTGATGTTAAAACTTCCTATGATCTGGAGTATGTACTCTAGAGGGGATTATAAATAATCCTTAAAGCAATTGATACTTCATTTTACATCAGAACTATCATTTGCATTTTTGTTCTCGCTTTCAATCTTAAGAGACTAAGACCTCTATAATTGCTCTAAGAAGAATCTCTTGTCCCCGCGAGGGAGTTGGAATGCCTCAAAAAGACCGTCTGAAATGGCAACTAACGCAAGCCTACTCAACTAATCTCATAAGTAAACGCCTGTTCGCATTTCAACTAATAGAAAAAAAACTACTACTAGACGGTTAAATTCTCAATTTCCATAAACTTACCACTTTTTTAGAAGTAAAGAAAACCTTTTAACTTCGCAAGTTCCTAAAGATTGTTTTTTGAAAATATAGCCAAGGTTGTTAGAAGCATAATAAACAATAGGTTCAATGAGATGCAGAGGGAAAATATTTTTCTTCACAATACCTGCTAGAGGAGCCCTTTTAATCGGTTTTTATATTTGCATTTTCAAGATAGATATTGAGACTGCACCATCTATGATTATTTGCTCATTGTTTAATACAACATGCATAAATAGGCAGTCAAATGATTCCCCAAAAAAGGGTAAAAAAGAAAAAACACTCGGAAAATCAATGTTTACGAGGGATATGGCAGTCAAAATGGTACATATAGTAAGTTTTTATCTGGTACATTTCAGAAATCGCGAAAGCTCATTTTAGGATCACCTCTTCTTCCAGAACTTCGTCCTCTTCCCCTATAAGAACCTCTGCCTCTTCCCCTTCCTCTAGCACCCATTCGTTTGAAAAATGATTTTCCATGCTTCACTTCCACAAGTGAATGGAGTAAATCATCACAAAGAATGCAACCAATGTGCAAGGTTGCCCCATCCTCCAAAGGTGTTGTATTCTTATTGAAGTCCACTTCTAGAATCATCGAGTCACATTCAGGGCACCGTTCTCTAGTAGTGCCTATACGATGAGCACCCAGAGGGAGCAAGACAAGACAATTGCACATATTGCAATAGAGTCTCCACTTGGGTGCACTAACTGGGTCCAAAACAAGGGTTCCACTGCATTCGGGGCAAGCACAAACCCCTTGGGCGATCAGAGAATGCCGGCACGTTGGATGTGGGCATAGGAAGCACGGCATGCCAGCTCCCTTCCCCAACTTGCCAAAATTACCGTTCTTACTAGTGCTGAAAAGTGTTTCTATGCCTTCAAAAGGAGGATTATTATAGCAGTATGGGCATAAGGGGAACGTCTTGCCCTCTGGCCCAGCCATGGAGAATATCAACAGCTCAAAGTTGTCCAAAGGGCACGTTAACTCCTTGTATAGCTGCAAAATCAATTAACAACATTACAATATATGAAAAATCACTAGTCATTAGAAGGTCTCAGAAATCAGCTTTAGACATGGCAGTTACGAATTTTGAACATCTATATAAATCGATGATAAAAGAAAATCATTTGATAAAAAGAAATCCATCACCTTGATTGTGCCTTTCTGAGGAAGATAATAAACCTCCTCGCATGTCCCACAGTATAGACGCTGCGGTTGAGTTGAAATGTACTTCATGTACCTCAGGCATTTACCGCATTTACTAAGTGCACGTCCTGAATCAACAAGTTGAGAGAACTGTGCTTCAAATAATGCATCCATGTTGTCAATCTACATCGCAGAAAAAGAAAGCTGACTAATGAGGAATCAACTATTCAAAGTTCAAAACTTCGACCATTGCGGGAATCATTATGTGAAAGTTGTGCAGCTTATAATTGATAGACATTCCCACAAGCATACTTATACTTTTGGGTAGGATGGTTTTACAAAGATGAGCCGCTACACAATAAGGAGTGATCCGAATCAAGTTCAGTGCACCGTAGCATGGAAAGATTGACTCGATATTGTAAGAAGACACAGTCTAAACTAGCTTAATATCCTGTAAAAACTGATATGGCTCTATTGCAATCAGCAGAGAGCACCTTTCCTAAGCCAAGTCATAAAATGAGAACTAAGGCTCCAGCTTAGGCTAGCTGCGCCAAGACAAGCAGAAGCCTTTCATGCTCTTCTACCAAACACAAAGATTAATTTCGAAGTATGCAGTTCCTGAAAAAGGTCTAACCCGCTTAACAAAGTAACTGTATTTTTGCTTGAATTGTTGTAGTACATGCTGCACAACACGAGAATGATCTGCCTGGCCCTTGGCAATAAGTGTAATCTGTTGCTCAATGAAACTACGAATGTCAGGTAAACAGAGGTCTGGATCAATACATTGATATCCTCTTATCAAGGTGATACCTAGGGTGGTTGGAACCAACCTCCTGCCAGCTTGTACCTGCAATTTGAAAAGTAAAAGGAAACATCCAAATCTGAGAGCCAAGTACTGAATAAAAAAGCAAAAAAAAAAAAAAAAAAAAAGGTCTAACCCGCTTAACAAAGTAACTGTATTTTTGCTTGAATTGTTGTGAGTTACATGCTGCACAACACGAGAATGATCTTGCTGGCCCTTGGGGACCAATTAAGTGTAATCTGTTGCTCATGAAACTACGGAATGTCAGGTAAAACAGAGCGTCTGGATCAATACATTGATATCCTCTTATCAAGGTGATACCCTAGGGTTGCGTTGGAACCAACTCCTGCCCAGCTTGTACTGCAATTTTGAAAAAGTAAAGGAACATTCCAAATCTGAGAAGCAAGTACTGAAATAAAAAAGCAAAAAAAAAAAAAAAAAAAACAGATAGGGTTGTTTTCAACTTTTCTGGCCTAAATTTTAAAAAAAAAAAAAAAAAAAAAAAAAAAAAAAACAGTAGGGTTGTTTCAACTTTTCTTGGCTAAATTTTAAATAGATGCCGTAAACTGCTTGAGGTAAATACAACCACGCTGTACTCTCTCCTTCCAATTTATTCTTTCTTTACAGAAACGAGAAATAGGAGAAAAGGAGGGCTGAAACGCTATCAACGGCTTTGTAGCAATATTGTGTACCAAAAAGTAAAAAGAATATACCTGCACATAGTTACGTTCGCATATGTTGTTAATATGCGTAGGTATTGATGCGTCTGTACCTATTCCATTCCTCTCCATTAGAGAAATCAGCTCACTCTCACTGAGATAATCCGGAGGAACAGTTTTCCCCTACAGATCATATAAACACATAAAAATCATTACAAAAATTCTTAACCATGGCATATAACACAGTATTTATTTTTCTTTCCTCTCTTCATTAGATCTTACTAATCATATCTTGGAGAATATAAAGCCCGTGACAGTCCTAGTGACCAACCATCAACTTCGTTCCCATAGTTTCTTTCTTTGTAAAGAAGACTAATGAAATTAAAATGCAATGGAGGAAAATCTTGGTGCAGACAATAATAACATCACGGGGATCTAGGTAGTTGCAAAAATAGAAGAGTGGAAGTGGAATTTAAGGTAGTGGACCACTCTCACTAGATGCTTGTTTACAGAAAAAGGATGAGCAACAAGCAATCAAGGCCAAAGGGAAATGTTACAAGCATTGCATGCTAGAACAGAGACGCTTATAGACAGAATAAACAAGCACATAAAGAGGCGAACATATTGAGAAGCTAAGGCTAAGTTCCTGGAGAGAATTTATGACAAGATTGATATATGTGGGAAGCAAAGAATTATATCTTGAAATTGAACATTTTGCTAGCCATGATCCAATACTAAATTAATACTCTATTCCATGTCACATTATCATTAGAAACCCTGAATCCCCAAAAAAATTTTAGCCTTGATCATCAACTTAACGCTTCACAAGTTCTATTTCAAATCCTAAATTTATGTTTGTCTAGATTTCCAGCAATCGTCTCATTATATCCAACCGCTCAAATCTCAATTAGCTAGAACTCTAACAGTCTTCTCATAGTTTCTAGCATCACCCAAAAATACCTATAATTATTCAAGATTTTCCCATTATTAAAAAATAATTATGCAGACATTTCAACTTCCTCCATATCAAATGTGGTACTTTGATACACTCAAGCAGGAGAATTGAGATGGCTTGGCCATGCTGTAGATTGGCAGATGTAGCAGTAGCACATTCAAGTCAGTTGGGTGAAGTTGACAGGTAAGCAAGGATGATAGGGTTAAGTGATAAAAAAATATTAAGCATTTCTAGACCCTTCTAAAAACATAACTCTAAGTCGACTATAATAAGGAAAATAGTTGATGTAGCAATCAGATTACACATATAGATTTACACCTGGTTAAGTTGGAGTTAACATTTGATATATGAATAATAAACTGTTGACATTCCAAAAGTACCTCAAATAGGTCCACTTTTGAAACTTCTACTTTCTCGCCTTTTTTAAACTGAGGAAGATTTTTCTCACTTACTACCAACCATGGCATAATAGACGTAAACCCTTCCACTGTAACATGCTGTCCTATGCAATGGAAGAACTCTCCAGCAACGGAAAATTCCACCTTAGTCCTGAAATTTTTTCCAAGTAGTGATCAAAGAGAGAGACATTAGAAAAAATACCATACAATCAATAAGCCATTAAAATTGTGAGTTGCTTAAGATCTTATAGAATCAAAATAACATTTTGTGAGAGAGAGAGAGACAGAAAGAGAGAATGGGGGATTGGGAGGGAGGGGGATAGGATTTCAAACAACAGAATTGGAATCAGAACCATATGGAATTGAAATCAAAAAATGGATTAATGAAATAAGTGAAGTTGAGTTTCACCACACTAGTTGCACAGTACACCGACCTCAATTATTTTATGAAGGCATAGGGCCTTGGAGCAAGATGCATGAAAATTGATTAATGGAGGAGATATCTTTCATTTTTTTTTTTTTTTTTTTTATCTTTCATTTTTATTTTTTTTTTTTTTGGTTCATCATTTAATGGAAGAAACCTTTAAATTTTTTTTTTTTTTTTTTTGGTCATCATTAATGGAGAACCTTAAGTTGGTTTCAGGCTTTTAGAGGCAAGGTCAAGGTGACTCATCATCTGACTGAGAGGGGTTTGACAGAGGATATTAGAATGGGGTAAAAGGATACACCATTTACAACTTGTGCATCATTTATTTCAAAATATAATTCTCTAGAATGCCTAGAGCAATGCACCTAAGAGACCTAGCAAAAGGTGAAGAATTCACATTTTCAAAACAATCAATGTTGATGAACCTGAACCCCATTTTCTTTTTCCAAACTGCAGTTTTGTCCCCTTTTATTCACTATTAGTTGTAAATTATGATTGGAAAAGTGTATATATTTGCTTATTAAAAGTTGTTAGCCTGCATAAGTGTCCAGGATCTCCTTATTGCCAACATTATTCAAGAATCTTTATCAACATGGGAAGAAGTGTTGTGTAGCCTCCTCAATGTTAACAAGTCATTGATGTTGATTTGATTGAGAATTGAGAACAGCAACCAAGCATATGCTCACATGCGAATAAAGCTGTCTCTGATCCATAATGTGCATTGTTTAACTTGGCTTCATGAAAAATGAACAGAATTGACAATAATACTGGAAGAAAAGATGTTCTTGACCATCAGGAATTGGTAGGAGGCCATTATTATTTTTTGGGTTTGTTTGTGTTTGATGTTCTTATTTGCAATTGTATTTTGTTTCATAGGAGGCATCCTTGCCGCCATGATGTGCACTCATTTCATTGTTTCTCAATAAAGTTTTGTTTCTAATGAAGGAAATCATCAATTTATCAGTATGATTGTTAAGAGAGAAAACCTCAAGAAATGTCAGATCCCCCACAGCCTAAGTTAAAAATGGATGCATGGTGAACAACAAAAAGAAAATAAGGCAAGTCTGTCGAAATGGGAGTTTCAACTTCCCGCACATATGTCGAAAACGGAGAATATCAGTATCAGAAAACTTGTAGCTAAAGAAAAAAGAAAAAATTGAAAAATAAGATAGTGCCTTCCAAACAATCAACACATCGTTGTCTTAATTGGGATTCTTGGAACCTTGAATGGCAAACTAGCCATCACTCATCAATGTCAAAAGCCCCAAAATTGAAGTGCTTCCAGACCCTAAAGTTGAAGAAAGGAGGCATTTACCTAGGTTGAAAGGTGAACAAATTACTTGGGATTTCAGGCAAGAAAGAAGCATAAGCGATAATAAAAAAGGTAGCAGTCCCCCCCTCTCTCTCTCTCTCTCTCTCTCTCTCTCTCTCTCCCCTCTCTTCTCTCTCTCTCCTCTCCCCCCCTCTCTCTCTCTCTCTCTCTCTCTCTCTCTCTCTCCCCCACTTCCCATTGAACATTCTCTGCCTTTTCTACTCACTGTTTTAAGTTTTTGGTTCTGTAATTCATTCAAATTTCTTTCCCCTTTGCTTTATTCCTCCACCATTCATCTCTACTAATTCCTTTTTCCCCATCATTGACATTTTCTATGGGTGAAGTAAACTAGCACAAAACTTTATCTTTAATGATAAATTGGTTAAGAATAAAGAAAAGAGATTGAAATGTGGAGGATAAGTTATTCTGCAACCTAACCAATGCAAGCACCATTACATTTATATTAAAAGAATCAAAATTTCATTCTGTTCCTTTTCTTTTCTTTTCTTTTCTTTTTTCTTGAGCAAAGGTTATGCTTAATTGTTTGTGTTTTCTTTTAATTTTTTTTACCAAAGGTTGTAATTTATTGTATGAGATTTGATCACTGATTTGCATATCATTAGATAGGAGTTATCTGAAATTAAACAAGCTGCATTAGATTTGAACTTATAATGACTTACAATAGCACAATATTCCACCATTTAGCCTAACGGGAGTATCAAATATCTTTGTCAACCACTATAACTCTTATTTGCATAATTATTTTATATGCCATTCTAACAGGTGTACCCTCATCAGTGTACGCTCACCCTTAACGTTAAGCCTAGGCTCCAAAAGCCATTGGCATCTCATTCTGCCTTGTATAAAACACAGGGGCATGTAGAGGGGACAAAAAACAACAGAAGAAAAGAACAGCAAAAGCAATGCAGCCAAGATAGCACTAACAAAAAAAAAAAAAAAAAGGAAATTAAAAAAAAAAAAAAAAGGAAAATTAGAAATAAAAAAAAAAAAAAAAAAAAGGAAATTAGAAATAACACTGTCAATGCATCAGATAAAGTAGAATTCCAACATTGACTAGTATAATGAAAAGATATACACCGAGTCACTGAGAATTTACCTTACATACTTGCAGTCTGGAGACACAGACCCTAAAAAATGTTGACAAACGTAATGATATATGCTCCAAGCATCTTTGCCCAGCATATCCTCAGTTGCTAAACGGATAGGTGTTATAGGAGGATGGTCGCCTGCATCTGTTCCTAATCGAGGCTTGTGATAACCTTCAACAATCAACCTCTGGACATAGCTTCCCCACATTGAATTGTTAGCTAGCATACCAAGTGTACCTTTGAAGTCAAAAGATGAAGGGTAGGCTGTGCTTTCTGTGCGTGGATAGCTGAAATAGCCAAATAAAGCAATTATTGTGGGTCGTTAAATTCCAAAAAGCCAAAAGTGGACCACAATTTTAAACTGAACAGCAATGGAATACCACAATGAAGCAAGAAAATTTGATCTGCTAATTATATGGAAATTAAAATGAACTTCCCAAGTTCTTAAATACTTGAACCATGTCCAATCAGATAATTTGTTGAACATACATCCATTTCTCCATGCAGAAGAGAACTACCTATTTAACGTGTGCCATTTCTCCATACAAATAAGAGAACTACTTATTCAATCAAATAGAAAATCAAGGCTTTCGTATATTTATTGTTGTCATAGTCAATTCTTTCGTTTTGATAATTTTAGCAATTACATGGATTACAACTACTTGCACAAATACTTCGACGACTCCCACTTGTTAATACATAGACCCATAGTTGTTAAAGGCACAAGGTGCACTGAGGCGCAAAGGGGTCCTGGAGCCTAGGCGCAATGCACAAGGTGAAGGCGTGCGCCTGAGCGAGCTGAGGCGCAAAAATAAAGAAAAAATTGGAAAAATATAAAATAATTCTAAAATTGAACAAAAAATTCATATTAATAATATAAAACATATAAACTCTTAAATCACACTATTAGTACTTGGAATATCCAAATATAATTGAAAGTAATGCATAATAAATAAAACATATAAACTCTTAAATCACACTATTAGTACTTGGAATATCCAAATATAATTGAAAGTAATGCATAATAAGATGTTAAGAATTGTAGCATAGCTTTAAATAAATAATAATTTCAGCAGCCCTAAACTAATAGTAATAACCATTAGCCTCAATTCAGCAACACAAATCAGCAAAAAATTTGGTAGCATAACAGCTTATAGTTGAAGCAATTGGACTTGAAAGATGTTGAGAGATTATATTGTAATTGTATTTCTTGTATCTCATCAATCGATTACATATGTCTCTATATAATGAATTCCTATGCTACCTTGCTATTAGGAATACAAATCATAAACTAATTAGGAATCTAACTCCTAATAGAACTCTATTTACAACTAATCCTTAACACTCCCCCTCAAGTTGGAGCATAGATCCTTAACACTTCCCCCTCAAGTTTGGAGCATAGATGTTAATCACTGCTCACTGTCACAAACTAACTAGATCTTTAGCACATAAGCAGCAATACAATAGGCTCAGCAACTGTATCACCCACTTTCCAATTATAGCATATAGAATCCCCAAACCAAATAGTTAATAACAGAATTTAAGACAACACACTAGGTTGTCGAAACAAATCTCACACCTGAAACCAGAAAACAACTCACAGGGCTTGTTTCAAGCGTTCCATAAATCAGATGCCTCAAAGAGAGGAAGCCAGTAGCGCTAGGTATTCTCAGAAAACGCAGCAAAAGGACAAATCTGGCAAACGGATCACACCACTGAAAGGCCAAGAACACAAACTGCAACTCACTGGCGGTTTTGCACTTGCTCTTGACAAAAGGAGAAGGTTCAAAAAAGCAGAATACCCGTAACTGCGCAAAGGTGCAGTACTAAATCCCTATGCAAAGGAATCACTAGAATCACCGAAAATTACTAAACAATTATCACAGCAAAAAGGAAAATATGTTTTCCCTTAGCAATTAAAGCAACAACAGTAAGCAGATGACTGCCCGCACAAGCATGCAACCAGAATCACCAGCAAACAACCTATTGAATAAGACCACAAGAATGACGATTGATAGACTCACTAGGTTGGCACCGTTCCTCTTCAAAGCCATACGGAGAGAGGAACCAGAATTGAAAAAGACCATTGGACATGCAACATGCGTGTGAAACCAGAGCCAAGGAATGAAAAGAGGTGAAGCAGTGTGGTCACTTTTACTGTTGGAATTCCGGCAATCGGAATTGCGGGGAAGGCGCAAGCGGTTGGAGAATATCCCTGTGGTCAAGTGGGGTAGACAAATACTAACCCCTTCAGAAAGGCTTCTAGGGTGGTCAAATGGCTTTCTCGCAAGGGGAAGTTTTGGCGAAAAAATATTTCTTTTCATTTTTCGTTTCTTTTTTTTTTTTTTTTTTTTTTTTGAAGAAGGCCCTCTGATACATGTGAAAAAAATATATTGTAAATTGTATTTCTTTATCTCATCAAGATCGACTTACATATGGTCATATATAGTACATGGAATAATCCTTATGCTACCCGTAGCTATTAGGATACAATCAATAAACTAATTAGGAATCTAACTCCTAATAGAACTCATTTACAAACTACTTAAACATAAAGAAGGAGTAGAGCTGATGTGTTTGAACTCAAATTAAGAGAGGGAAATTGAGAAAAAAAATCAAAAGAATAGTTGAGAGACGTTATCTTTCTTTATATTAATCAATTGCTGAATTGGAGGAGAAGACTTCTTTGTAAGGCTTTAATTGAGTAATTGATTTAGATCATCTAATTGGGGGCTTTCTTTGATTGTCGATGAACAGTGTAGAGGAGTTTGATGTAGAGTGGTCTCGTTTTTTCTTCTGAAAATCACTACCGATATCTTCTGTTTTCTCTTTTTTTTTTTTTTTGTTAATAAAAGTCTATATAAACACAATCACATATATTAAAAAGAAAAACCCTAAAAAACCTGCTGAAAAACAAAAGGCGCGCTTTTTTTGTGCCTTGCGCCTGCGCCTAGGCGAGGGTTTTTTTTCCAGAGGCGCACGCCTCAGGAAGGTCGCCCGCCTTTCAGCTCTTGAGGCTCCATGACCTGTGCCCTGAGGCACGCTTTTCACAACTACGCATAGAGCCAATAAAAAATGATTCATTTGTTCTGGTTGGTGACCAAGACTGGTGAAGTATCTTTACATCCTAAGTATTAGTATATTTATGTTACACAGAGGAGGAAAAAAAAGTTGCCATCCTCATATATGTGGAAGGATAGTATCTTGATGGCAGTTCATGCCTTTTTACTAGTTCTTGCTTAACCACCTTCCACTCGTATTCAGGATCTTACTTGGGAATTGCCTGTTAATCGACCCCCCAACTACTAGACAACTGATTTTTCGTATCTTCTATTTCTATGAGCACATGGCCCCACGGTTTCCCCAGCTGGCATCCACCAAAGCCAGTATATCCATCTCAACAATTAATAAACGTTTCCACAGTTCTGAAGGAATCATAACACAATAGAGTGGCCATTAAAGTCTCCCTAGGAACCCAAATAAGTCATCTACCAACAAAATTATATACGTAAAAAATGCTTCTGATAACTCAACCAGAGGGTTTAGGCTTTGAATGACAAACCAACTCAGGTTACTTCTTCTAACTGTTGTTAAATCACATAACCATTAGGATAATTACAACATGGTCCAGAATCCAGAATAATACAAAAATATGATTAATCTAAAGCATATAAATATGTTTCGCAATTTCCTACTGCCCAGCCCTTTCCTTAGTCATATAAATCAATTATTGCTGCTCTGGTTTCAGGGCACCTCATTCAAGTTACATGATTGGCAAAATGCAGTTCCCAATACTACCCCCTTTAGCACCATGGATGAAAACAGCACAAATTATTTCATGCAGCTCAAATGTCTCCAAACTTAACTAGAGTCTGGCTCAGTAGCTGGTCAACTAGACATAAAGACAAGCTCAAGCTGATATTCTAGTCTCTTTTCCAGCAGATGATCCTTTACATCTAAATAAATTAAGTAAAAATTAATAAAAACCAGTTCTATCAGCTAATTCAAATCCTTGTTTTGCATGACAATATGATACAACAACACCAAACTTCAATAAAGTAAAGAGAACGGTTATTCTATCGACAAAAACAAATTACTCCCTCCACCCACAAAATAATAGCCTTACTGCCTTGACACAGAGAATAAGAATAAGTCAATTAAAAGAACTATATTTTTTTGAGTTTTATCAATTATAACCTTATTAATCATTTTAGTGAGAGAGTCAAAGAACAATGAGAGTCATTTAGGGGTATTATTGACAAATCAATCTTTTGACTTGTTTGACTTTTACATTAAAAGGGAAAGTGGCCTTTTTCAGGGACATCCCAAGAAGGAAATAAGAACTATCATTTGTGGGTGGAGTGAGTACAATACAATTGCCAATGAAAAGAAAAAGACAATAGAGTGGTTACATTAGGGGAAGGAAGCAAGAAACACCTGATAAATCCTTGAGTATATAACCGTTCAGCTAGTTGCATGGCCATTTGAGGTCCAAAGCCTAATGCACTTGAAGCAACCTGAAGAAACCAGGACAATGAACTCACATTTTCTGATATTGTCACATTCTTATACGAAGAATTTCTGCTTTTAACCTTTTTTAGTTTTTGGGATAAAGAAATAATATTAGTAGAGATAAGAATGCAGGTAACTACAAGAAAGAAGATACATTATCCTCCTTACTATGTTAGAAAGGAAGATATAGTAAAACCGTGCAACCATGTTTAATGCCCTTGATTTCCCTAGTTTCCATAATTAGTACAACTTTATTCCTCCAATTAAAGTTGTTTCATTTTGCATTCTGATGAAACAACTTGAACTGCATAAATTTCTCACTGTCCATTAACTGGACATAGCTCCTAAAAAATCAAGAGCATTAATATAGTAAAAAACATTAAGTTAAAACTGAGGCTAAAGCCATTACTTCCCCCCTGATCTATTCACCCTTTTGTCACTGGGCCCTCCATGTTCCAACAAATAAGCTCCACTATTGTATCCCAAAGCTAAACTGTGTTCTACTAAGCAAGATGCCATTGGGAAAGACAAGCAGTCGGTTTCATATCTTAAAATCTTGCGCAAAATTGTAAAGCAACATCTCTTTCACTCATTCTCTTTCCTTATCCTTCTCCCTCATTTTGAATCATTCATTCACAAAATCCTATAATTTGAATATGCAGATACACCCTATATTATTTTTTTATTTCATAATTATTGTAATTCAAATTGGAATAAATTTCTAGATTGCCCATCAAACATTTGGCAAAATTCACAGTTGAATCCTTGCATTTTAAAAAACGAAACACATGGTCCTCAATTTTTAATTTTACAACACTATAGTCCCTAAGTTTTTATTTTCAACAACATTTTAATCATTTGGTTTTCAAACAAAAACTTTTTAACCATATCAAAACATTACTATTTTATTGAATTAGCATGCTAACATTTGAGTGTCGTTAAGTCAGAAATAATATATAGCAAAACATATTGAACAAGAAAGAGGAAGTGGGCAAGAAAGAAAACCATTGAGAGGAATTTAAGCGAGATAATTGATAAATGAAACTGCACAATATTAGCTCCCTAACATGTTTTGCATGATAGATTGTAATTTCAGGACGTAGAAATTCAATGAAGGGATTGTTCTTTGAAGAATTTACTAGAAATGTTTGAAGTCGAGGCAGTCAATTATGAAATTAGTTTTTCGATGCTCCTTTAGGTCAGGGACACCATAGAAGAAATGATCTGTCCAGGGATCAATAACAAAACATCAAACAATTTAAGTGCAAAGTGATGGGTTAAATTCAATTGAGAAAATTATTTGTTGGTTGGTTCAATAGAAATAAAGATAAATAGGCTAGCAACAAATAAGATAATCAAAGCACAAACAATTGGATTTGGACTAAGTTAGAAGGGCTCACCAATGATATACGACAACTAACTATTAGTCTTTGCTGTTTCTTGGTTAGAAGCTGAACTAGAAGTCCAAAATTTCTTAACATGTTGCCCCTACTTCTCGCTTACAATCTTTCCATTCTTAAGAAGGTAAACAATACTGGAGATGGCTAATCTTGGTGATGGCAAATTTAAGGGATTGTTTCTAATTCAACAATAACACATCATGTTGATAAACGTGAATTAGAAAGTGTTGTTTTCTTTTTCTTTTCCTCATTTGAGATTTTATTGCAAAAATCTGCTGGAAATTCTAATATAGACTACAAGCTCGCTCGTATAATTTGGGTTAACAAACTTGCAGTGCCCACATACAAAAAAATTACCCCTCTGCGAGCCTGTATATTTGATTAGTCAGTTTTAAATGAGTGAACAGCTGGAGACCAAGTCAACTTTTTTTGGTAAGCAATCTGCATGAAAATCTCAAATGTGATCAAATTGAAAAAAATAGTAATAATAAATTTAGTGAGTTCAAATGAAATTAACCTTTAATGATCAGATTAGAAACAACTTCAAACTTCAGTGGCCTCCAATTCTATTTACCCAGTTTTAAAACCCAAGTAACCAACCAAAAATGGTCGAAAAGAAACTGAACAACTCCTCTGTTAGCAGACCTTTGCAGCAGTACCAACGGTTCAGTCATGGCAAAAAGAAGAAGGTGCAAGCAACAAGTCAACCACATGATCAAGCACCAAGGTTACCAGATCGAGATGGCATTTTATTAGTGGATGCTATAGTGCTTTAGTGGTACTTAGTTGTTGCTGTCATGTTTAGTGAATATCAGTTTTTATTTTTCAGTTATTTGTATTCCTTAGTTGTAGGAGGGTTATCCTCCATGATTTCCATATTTCCTTGTTTGTAGGAAATTGTTACTTCTCCAAAAGTTTTTGAGTGCTTTAACTCAAGAGATCCAGGTTATCTCTAATGAATCTGATTTAATTACAATCATAGGTCGCAGAAAGAAAACCCTCTCTCAACCTTCTTAACCTCCTCCCACTCACCCTGACCCTTTAACACACAGACCCATAACTAGGTCCTTATCAAGGAACCATAAACCCCTCATAAAAAATGCAATGAAAAACTACATAGCTAGTGAAAGAGCTTAAAACCATTAAGAAGTCAATTCCATGACCAATAGGAGAGGAAATAATCCAATACCAAAAACTCAATTTTGTATTAGACCCATAAGGCTCTAAACCTTTATTCAACAATTCTTTAATTTGTCGAGGTACAAGGTGGTATTTTTCCAATCTATGAGGGCTTATGTTTCTGGAACTTTCAAAGAGTTTCCTATACATGTTATCCAACTCAATTGGAGGGCGTTAATCTTTTAGCTTATGTTTTTATGTTCTTGCAATTGTCCTATAGACGTTAAAGGATTCCTTGCCCTCCATGGTGAATAAGTCTTCTCCCTCAATAAAGTTTTAAATCTTATATATTTAAAAAAATAAATAAATACTATTGCACCAAAAGAGCTAAGATTGAATTGTCCTTTTCAGTCCAGCCATTGTTTTACACATCTGTAAATGTAAAGAAAAGTGTGTTTGTGCGCATGTCTGTGTGTTGTTTTGCTAAATTTCAAACTCAATTGAACCAAACTAACCAATTCTTACCCCTATCAAATAATAATATTTCAAATAATCTATTATATAACATCAAATCATAACTCTCTAATCCATTAACAAGCCCCAAGTTTTTCTAACCTTTAGAAGGTTCACCGTGTTCAGACCAGAAGGACGACCTTTGCTTTCCTGTTTCTGTGATACATCAATCACTTCTAATATGCCATCCTGTATTACCAGCTTTTGAAACATCATAGCAATCTGCAATTTATAGAAATATGAAACATTTTTCCTTTGTAAGTAAAAACTACAACAACTCCAATCCAATTCAAGGAAAAGAAAGCCTCACATCTAAGTCAAACAATCTGTGACGTTCCCATTCTAGCTGAAGTTCATAGCCATCAATTATTATGTGAGGCTGCAGAGCCCAAAACTTTTCAGGTCTAAAAGTAGCAATTTGCAAATAACGTTGCACACAAAATCCAAGGGTAGGAGTTTGACAAGGCCCATAGCTGGAACAAAAAATTAGAAAGCATGATTAATTAATGAAGGAGGAATGAAATGGTATGCAATACACACAACACAAATCTACAAAACCGGAAATGTTGAGATCAAATGAATGTGTAATCACAAGCAGGGACAGTTGTATATTGGGGGGCATATCCCCTCACGACCAATTTCACCCAATATAATTGATGATCTCTAATAACAACCCCCCAACCACACATACCCACCCACCAGGGCTGCAAAACCAAAAAATTTTCTTTTACCTCACAATTCTTTGAACGATTTCCATGCACAAAAGATTGCCCATAGAATCCAAAGGCCAACTAGCAAATCTAAATTATTTGTAAGAAACACCATAACATTGTACCAAAAGAGAAAAGTTTTGAATGAGACAAGTTGTGGTTGGACTCAGCAAAGTAACAGGTAAATTACTGCAACAAATAAATGGCCATCTTAATTTCTTGTAAAGCATAACATTGGCCATATCATTCATGACATCTCAACACATCTTTTGTTTTATTCTTTCCCCTTTTTTACTTGTTCTAAAAACTTTCCAACTCTTCTTCTATCTACAATGTCCACAAATTGCAAATTGAGGAAACTTTTCTCACTGTTTTAGCTCTTTAATACAATATCTTAGCTTTTGTTTTGGGCAACCTAATTCCAACATAATTAATGGTTATTAATTTGTTTTTCTTTTCCGACAATTTATGTTTTGCATATAAATAAAATTCTGTTTTCATTGCTTTTTATTTGTTTATTCCTTTTTCATACACTTGTTTGTATCCTATTTTAGTGGTTGACTAATATATAATTAAAATCTGTCCAACTTGTACAAAATCTTAATAATACTTTACTTTACGAGCATTATGTCATCCATAGTTATTATATGAGCATTGCATTGTCTTTCATCGTTAGTTTATGCTAAAACAGTCAACTCAACTCAACCAAGCTCTAATTTGAAACTATTTGAGGTCAATTATATGGATACAGTTCCTCCATCCTACTTGGTTAGGGCTACATCTTAATGATGGCCTAGAGCCTCTAAATCCCATTTGACCTACTTCCCCTTCACATTATCTGTAACATCCTAATCCCTCAAACTCCATAAATATAGATATTGGCACCATTTTGATATCATTAGTAGTCATTTTATTTCATGTGCCACATCATAATTAAGAGACAACAGTAATTGCACAATCGATTTAATTTATTACTAACAATTTGTCACTAAGGTTTTTGCTGCACAACTCATTATAGGATGTTTCAATTCATTATATGATCATTTAACCACTAAGTATGTTTGCCTAATTCATTTAAATTCTTAAAATTCTCTAAATCTGGTTTACAAGGATTCAAATATTGTAAAAATCTGAGTGCATAGCTCAAGATACACTTATTTGGAAGGTTTCATGGTCTACGTTCAGACCCGAAACAATGTCTGCGGCAAGGCAGGAAGATTTAGCTGGCAACTTCAGCTGCCAAACCTGCACTTTCAGCCACCAAAGTTAGCTGGTCCTTTAGCTCCAAAATGGTCCAAACCATCCCCTGAAGCAACTCCTTTTACTCCAGATTCCTTGCACTCATAATTCATCCTCTCCAAGCAATCAAACATGAATTTTAACACATCAAAAGACACCAAACATAATCTAAATCATCAAAGATCAATCATAATCCTAATTCAAGAGCATTTGGCATACTACAATCTCTGATTCACATTCGAATCCCCCTTACCCATCCAATTGACATAAGATATTAAGCAGGCTCATTATCCATGCAAACTTTAAAGGCTATTGTATATTATTTACACCATCTATTTCCTTGTTTCATTACACTAGCCATTTATCAAGAACTAGTACACTCAACATTTTTACAAGAACCATATCAATAAGGTCATTACACATCACCGTGGAAAACCTTAAGGTTAGGGGTATATAATGTTTCCAACAAAATCCAGTACATGGCCAGCATTACAAGGCTTGGACTTGGACTTGGACACGACCCAATTGAAGATATCCAAAGAATTCACAATAGTTTAGAATTACATTACTTGCAAAAATAGAACACTCGTGTATCAAGCTAATGTATGCATGACCCAAGCCATATCAAAAGAATATGCAAAAGTCTAATGTGTGTTGGTCACTTTGTCTTTGTCTTTAAGACCCCAAAGAAACATAGGAATCTTCTCAACTTCCCCTTCGCTAGTTCTACGCCGCTAGGGCATTTGCGAGTGATTAAAGAACTACTCTCAAAAACTTGAGTGAGTGTATAAGATCCGCAAAGGAAGGCTGCACGTCTTCCCATTCCACTCAAGCACATAGGCAACACAATGATACTTTCACTAACTTATTTAACAAATTTCATTACTTTTAACATGTTCATCATCAGCAAGTTAACATTCAATATACACATTCATTTAGCTTAAAAGAAAACATAAGGTATTATTTCACTAAATTTACATTTTTAACACCTTGGAAAAAAACATGTTTAACCACGAAAATGAAATCTCAATATAGTTTACTTTCTTTACTTGTAAAACGCTTCCATCTGAAAAGTTCACAAGCAACTTCAAGAGAACACTTGTACCACTTATGTTAACTTTCTCTAAAAAGCGCTTTTCACATTTATAAGGCCTGCAAATATGAGATGTATAAAATGCAGTGGCGAATCAACTCTAGAAAAAGCGGGGTCAATTGAGCCCCTTTTTTTAAAACATTCCCTTTAGATACACATACATTTTTCTAAATTGATCCCTCTTAAAATTAAGCTTAAAACTCTCTTTACTATACTTTATTATATATTGAGCCCAAAATATACTTTTTTTTCCTAGATCCACGATTGATTGAATGCACAAATAAACCCTGCGATAACTCTCAGATACAATGTTCTACCCATATCCAAACTACACATGAGCTCAATTTAGTCACTCAGACATGGAGTTCCTATAATAATTTTTCATTTGAAATCAAAATATACATTCATGCATTTTCCAACTAACTTTATAAATTTCATAATTTCACAGTCCCATTACATAAGGATAAAACATAAGTTTACCAATTTAAATTTTTAAGACAAGGGTTTGCTAGACGCAATTCTTTAACATTTTCAATTCTTTCTTAAACACATCTGCATTTCGATCAAGCACTCATTCAGAACATTATTAATTCTAAGGAAGTATGTTTTAATAAAAAAAATCTTTGAAAGCCATAAGAAAATGGTTTGTTTAATTAACACATAATTGAACACTTTTCATTTTAATTATTTAATTCAAATCATACAAACTTAGATGACACTTCTTAACTCATTAAGGCTCTAAGACCCTCTAGGGTCGTCGGCCAACATGGCTCTTGAATTAAAGCTATAGTGCCACGAGTCTAATCTGAGTATCACTATAAATACAAGGTTTCACTTTAATTCCAAAATTTAGATTCTGACATCATTTGCGACAAGCAAATATTAAGATAAATATTCCACCCTTCTGATAGACATGTATTGACACTAATTTCATGTCTATAATTAAAATTGGTTGTCATTTTCCCCTTTTAAAATGCCCTCAAAACATCAAGTTAATTTTAAAAACGATCGTAAAATAATTATTCTTTGAAGAAATTTCACTTGATTACCTCAATCCATCTTGTATATAATATTAATCCCTATAACCATCTTTTTGTATAAGTTATATTGCATAATCAAATCGTTGAGCATCATTGCATTTCATTTATGCAAAGATTCATTCAATCCTCTCTAGCCAAAATTCTATTACAACAAAAATTAATATTGTATATGTAAGGTAATAAAATGAAATCTTTATAAAGAGTAATTATTTTAAGCTCACTCAAGAAATTAAATTGATGACTTGTGGGCATTTTAAAAGGTGAAAAATACAACCAATTCTTGATATAAGAATAGTTTATATGCAAATGATCGCATGAGAATAAAAGAAATTTTCGTTTATAGAGTTTAGCCAATTGTAAATAAAAGTAATATAGTCAATTTACTCAATAATTTAACATGAATTAGACAAATTAAATGGTTTTCTTAAAGGACAAGAAAAATGCAAAGGTGACAGTTATTTGTGGGTGGAGGGAGTAATAGAGGAAGATTTAGGGCCTAGCCCAATGATATAATGCCAAAGAGCATTGTGGTAAAAGTCAATGGCAAAGTGTCACCACTGCAAAACATATGACAGCTCCCTTAAAAAGTTGATCTACACACATCTCACCCACTATTTCTCTCACTTGCATGCCAAATCAAAAGGAAAGAGAGAAAATTAGCTCTCACTCCCTCTTTTCCATTCTACACACCATCCATCACGAAAAAGGAAGAAAGAACCATCTCTTGTTCCCATTTCCTCCATTCTCTCTCTCACTTTCATGAAAAAATCAAGGAAGAAAGAAAAAATGGCTTTCAAAAGTCTCTCCTTTCTTGTATTTTCTTGCAATTTCTAGTTTTCCAAACATGAAACCTAACCCCAAACACTAAAGTACTTCATGAAAAGTTATTTACCCCAAACACTAAAGTAATCCATGAAAAAGTTGTTTACCTTCCAAGATTTAAATCAAGGCTTGAAACAAGAAGATTTGAAGTAAGCTTAATGTGGGTAGCCCATAGTCCCTGGACCAAGTCTCGAGTCGAAGGAGAGGAAAAGGAAGAAATTTTTAGAGTTCTCACTAGAAATTGCTTTTGCTTTGGTTTTATAAGCAGGTGAGTATATGAGACTTTTGCCTATGATATTTTGAGTTTCATGGTGGATTTTGAAACTTTTAACTTGAGATGTTACCTTTTGAGATCCAGTGGCTATAAACTTTCAGAGATTTTGGAAGTTGGTTGGTGCACTACCATTACTCCTTGTCTAATAATCACCTTTAGCATTTGCCCTTGTTTAGATTATTGTGGCAATTGTTGCTGAGATTTAAAAATCAATGGCGAATTTTTCTTTCTAGTATCAACTTGATGGTTACATACATTGATCTTGGATAACTTGGTGTCTAAGAAAGGCACGAAA